CCAAAAAAATTCAATTTTTCTTAGGCAGAAGATTTTATTGCATATTCTTGCACAAAATACACCGAAAAGTGTAGAAAAAAATTGACACCCAGATCCGAGTAGAGGAAGACCCTTTTTATGACCAAAAACACATCCAAAATCAAAAAAAAGTTGCCAAAAAAATTCAATTTTTCTTAGGCAGAAGATTTTATTGCATATTCTTGCACAAAATACACCGAAAAGTGTAGAAAAAAATTGACACCCAGATCCGAGTAGAGGAAGACCCTTTTTATGACCAAAAACACATCCAAAATCAAAAAAAAGTTGCCAAAAAAATTCAATTTTTCTTAGGCAGAAGATTTTATTGCATATTCTTGCACAAAATACACCGAAAAGTGTAGAAAAAAATTGACACCCAGATCCGAGTAGAGGAAGACCCTTTTTATGACCAAAAACGAATGAAAAACCAAAAAAAATTACCAAAAAAATTCAATTTTTCTTAGGCAGAAGATTTTATAGCATATTCTTGCACAAAATACACCGAAAAGTGTAGAAAAAAATTGACACCCAGATCCGAGTAGAGGAAGACCCTTTTTATGACCAAAAACACATCCAAAATCATAAAAAAGTTGCCAAAAAAATTCAATTTTTCTTAGGCAGAAGATTTTATTGCATATTCTTGCACAAAATACACCGAAAAGTGTAGAAAAAAATTGACACCCAGATCCGAGTAGAGGAAGACCCTTTTTATGACCAAAAACGAATGAAAAACCAAAAAAAAATACCAAAAAAATTCAATTTTTCTTAGGCAGAAGATTTTATTGCATATTCTTGCACAAAATACACCGAAAAGTGTAGAAAAAAATTGACACCCAGATTCGAGTAGAGGAACACCTTTTTTATGACCAAAAATGCATCCAATAGCATAAAAAACTTACCCTTAAATTGTAAATTCAGATGTTCATTACATGAACATTTTGCTTTCTCTTTACGATCCGGACAATTGATCAGGATCTCATATAACATGTTTCTATAAAGAAAAAAATTTGTTTCCGCCACTTTGAAAAGTTTTATAAACGAAAGGACTACAAGCTTCCTCCAGGAGGAAGCAAAAAATGATGAAAGATACTTTTTCTTCTCGATCATTCGCGAATTTCTACTCTATGCTAAACGTCTGTGTCTGACATAACTGACTTTTACTACTGCAGACACAGATAAGGCATTTTTTGGGTTACTATGATCTACATATTTTTTTTTGTCATGTATAAATTAAATTATTTTTTTGTGCTTTTGTCTTCTATTAATTTTGATAAAAATCATTGACACTGTATATAGCATTTTGCAAAACTGACTTTCATTGATGCGTGTGGATAAAAAAAATTAGGTCACATTCTTGTCCTTTTATAAAAAAGACAAGTCTTTTGGTACATTTCGAAAATTTTAAATTTTTAAATTTTTTTCCACTTTGGTCCATTGCTGATTTTATCAAAAAAGTGTTTCCTACATTTTTTGTATAGGGGATAACTCTTTCTCTATGCTTTACATTTGAAAAAAAAATTTATTTGATTCAAGTAATCGGTTACTTAATTACTATTAAATAAATATTTTCTATATTTGAATTAAATATTGTATACTGTATTTAAACCAATAATTTCTGTATTTGAAACAAATACCATTTAATTGACTCAAATAATTATTAATTTATATAAATATTTGATAAAATTGTTATGTAAACGATTATATTTGAATCAAATAAAATTTTTTTTATAGGTTTATTTTGAAAAATTAAATTTTCAAAAATTTTGGTCCATTGTATAGCTTGGATGCTGTTGGTCCTATAAGAAAGTTCCGCATACATTTTTTGTAGATCATTACAAATAGGAATCGTAAATTACTTAAATTAAATTAAATTAAATTACTTAAATAGGAATCAGAATAATATTCTTAAATTTAGAATATCGTATTATATCTATTTTTTAATTCATTATTCACGCTGCGAAGTAAATAAAAAGAAATCGAATCTTTTGTTGTCAGAAGTCAATGTGCGGATAAATTATGGTTATATATACCTTTGGCAAATAGCCACTTATATGATGTCGTTATAAAAATTGCAATCATTTTGCATTTTTTAAGCCCGCATTATTAATATATTGTGCAACCATGAATTATTATTTCGCCTCCGATTCAACACAAAAAAAAAAACCAAATATTTTTTCCTATTTTTATTAATTATGAGTAAAATAAATAATAATGAATATTAAAGCGTGAAAATATCTTTCGCATATTAATTCGTGTTATTACCAATCTCACAAATTTATTAATGTCAACATATAAATATTATAATATTCTAAGAATAACACAGATTGGATAGTATTTTTTTTTTTTTTGAATAATAAAATAATAATAAAATTGTTCAAATTTTTTTTTCAACTTATTTTCATTGGAGGCGAGTGTGTAATATATATATATAATGGACGTTTGTATCGGATATTGTATTTCACTGTGAGTGCGGCACTTGAAATTTATCGCGATTGTATTTGAGTTCACGTAAAGACGGTAGTTGGGCCCTTATTACCGGATTCGTATCAAGGACACCCAGTGAGTTTATATATATATATATATATTATTAGTCCATCGTTGCTTATTCTTTCGAAGAGTGTATATACAAAAAATATATAGAAAGTGGACCGTCTTTCTTTGTCGATTAATACGATTATATGCTAATTGAGAATTCATGAGCCTACATTTCTTGCACGGATTCTTTTATATTTATCTAGATCGTAATGTGTAACATTCGTGTTGTTTTAATATCGTTATCTTTATAGGCAGTACCTTAATTTATCTCTTCTCATTAAAAAAAAAATAAATGTATTATTTTACAAGTCGATTTATTCGAAATTATTCTAATCATATTTTTAGGGTTTCGGCCCGAAACACTCAGAAAAAAGATATGTTTGAACTAAATGTATCATTTTTTTTATATTTACCCAATTTTTTTGATTAGTTCAAACAAAATTTGTTTAATTCAAATAAATATTTATTTAATCTAAATAACTGTTTGGTTTATTTTAATAAATTTTTTGAACAAAGAAAAAATTTGATTGAGCTAAATAAACGTTTGGTTTATGCAACCAAATTTTTGGTTAACTGTATATATCAAAGCATTTATTTTGTTGATTTAACCAAAATTTAGTTGCTTCAAACGAATTTTTTTCTGAGTGAAGTCTTGTAGTTTTGCTTTGGCGTCCGCGTTTGTCGTATACTCGTACGGTTGTCATGGTAACAGTTACCATAGCAATCGTTTTTTTCCTTAGCAACATTTACAATCGTCAATGAATTAAAACGTAGCTCCATTTTTGTATTAAAATCACAGAAAATTAAAAGGCATTAAAATAAGCTGCAACGCTTATTATTTTAATCCAATTTTGCTTATTTTAATAGCAAAATGGATCTCTCATTATCAACATTCGTCAGTTTGCTTCGCGACACCAATAATATAAAAAAAAAGTATTAACAGAGATTAGAAAGAGGAATAAAATAAAGGAGAGGATTAATAGACACCAGAAAGAGACTTCAAATAAATAAAATATTTAGCAGAGGATTAATATATCACTGAAAAAATATGCTACTTAATCAACAGCATTTTTTGCCAAAGGTATAAAAATTATTGATTCAAAAGCATATGCTATAAAATTTGTAAAATATTTTATAGGTTCTATATCACAGAAAAAACTTGGACTCATTTTTGTTGCAACTCATTTTCTTTTGGGTATCGAAATGAGTATGGGACAAACTTCATGTTATTCAAAATGATATTGGCTGGAATTTCAGATTTCTAAGTTGGCATCATAAGCAGAGTAATTTTGTATTTCAACTATTGTTTCTAATATTTCAACAACACCAGAAAGATTATTTTGACCAGTACGAATATTTAGAAGTTTTTAAATAAAAATTATTTATTATTATTTACGTAGATAATAATTAATTTCATAAGTTTTTAAATTTACCGCTATTATTTAAGTTGGCAGTACCGTTCCTGTTGTCAAAACACATGTTTTCATTTTTCTAACCTAAAAACATATTTCCTTTATTATTTTATTACGCGATTACAAGCAATTTTTAATCAAATATATTAAGTCTAGCGTGTTATTTACTTCTTTGTAATTATTATATTTCATGTTTTTGTGCAAAATTATTCGTTATTTCACAATATTTTTCCATTTTTCTTTTTCTCAAAATGAAACTTGTCTGTTTCATTTTGATACTTTTACCTTAGAACTCGAAATGAGACAACCAGTTTCATTTTTGTTGCGAATCAAATTGAGTATAGAATCTATACTCAATTTGAATTCAGGTTTTTTCTGTGTAGCGCATATGCTTTTGAATCAATAATTTTTATACCTTTGGCAGAAATGCTATTGATTCAATAGCATATTTTTCTCAGTCTATAAAAATCGAGAAGACTAAATGAGGATGAAAATCCGATACACAAATTTTATTGAAAAAACACAGAGGATAAACTGAGGACTAATTATGAATAAAGAAGAATTAAAAGAGGATGCTGAGGACTAATTAGTATTGATAGAGTATTCAATCAGCAATAGGGAGAATTGATCGAGTATTAAAATTTCGACTCGGGCAAGTATAGGTCAGTATTTTAATTCGTCATAATTTATATTTATAGTGAGCTTCATGAAAATTTTATCATTTATTACCTGGAAATCATGGAATTTCGCGAAGAGAAATTTGTAGAAACCCTGTCAAGGCTTAGGACTGGCAGCAGTAATGCAATAATCCTTTGTCATTTGTTAAAATAAATAAATGAATAAAAGCCTTGCGCCTAGCTACGAAGGCGTTTTGGGAGGAAATGGCACGCAATTCAAACACAGAGAGAGGAACGGGACGCAATTCGAACTAAAAAGAATCATATCTAAAAAATCGCATGCAATTCGAAATCACCGTAAAATAATACTACAAAATTTATACTCTGCGTGCGGGATTAAAGAAAGCAACTAAAATCATTTCATTCATACAAAATTTTTTATTTACAAAAACAATTCGATTCTTATTTGAGATGAAGAAACATATTATGTGCTTAAATATCTAAGATGAGAGTATTATTATTTCTTATGGTAAATGTGGGAAAGTATTATTTTTCTTTTTTTTTTACAAATGATATGCAGCAGGGGCGGCGTAATGTGCATTGACAAGAGGTGCAGCATGAGCAGCAGCAACAGTTTTCACAGCAACTTGAGCGGGTTCTTTATGGACCACAGCATTGAAACCATTGACATCATCGGCGGTATATTCAACAACACGACGTGTACCATCTGATTCGAGAAGAGAATAACTTCCATGAACGACATCTCCATTACGTGATTCCTGTTGTGTTTTTGAATCGCCGGTCAATGCATCTTGAACATCATAGGCGTAACTGTATTGAGGATTTGGATCGTATTCAGTGTCAACTGTTTTGACAACTTTGGCAACTGGAGCAGCGGCGTATGCAACTGGAGCTGCGGCATAAGTGTGAGCAACTGGAGCGGCATGAGCTACTTGTACATGAGCCGCTGGCGCAGCGTACGCTAATTGTTGAGGGGCATATGATATCGCTGGTTGAGCGGCGTAAGCTAATTTAGCAACAGGTGCTGCCACCGCTGGTGCAGCGTATTGAATCGCAGCTGGTGAGCCAATAAAACCAGCGCGCGCTGTTGCTACAAGCGCAACAAATGCAAGGAACTGTAAAAGAAAATTTTATTTTTATTTGCTTTTCATTATTGGTGCGAAGCGTTGTTTTGTCGAATTCAACATAAAAAAAAAAAATTCAAATTGTTAGATTTGATGCCCATAAATGATGTTATATTTTTAAATACTTTAAAACTTATACACCGAAAGTGTTTCGGCATTCGTTTTCACTTTCTTTCATTATACACGTTTTAAATAACACATAACTTATTGAGTCACACAATAGATTGCATCAGGATTCTAACACAATCTATTTGTATATCGATAATAAGTAAATATCAAAAATCATTCTCCTTGCAACATTCTTTTTTGCTTCTATATAAGAAGTCAAGAAAACAGATGAAAAATACTACAGATGAAAATTAAAAAGAAAAGAATAAGAATCGTAAAAAAATTAGCCCACTTGGAAAGATTCCCCGGCAAATGCCCCCTGCAGGTTCTATCAGAATTCCGTCGGAACATCCAACGTAATTCCGTCGGAATTCCATCGGAGCTCCAAAGAATTTCCAATGGGATTCCGATTAATTTTTTTCAAAATTTTTAGAGTCTTAATTCCGTCGGAGCTCCGTCGGAATCCCATCGGAAATTCTTTGGAACTCCGATGGAATTCTGATAGAACCTCCAGAGGGGGCACTTTCCGGGGAATCTTTTCAAGTGGGAAGAAAAAACAAAACATAAAGAGAAATAAGACCAAAAAAATAAAGAGAAAGAAGAACACAAAAAAAATAGAGGAGAAGAAGAACAGAAAAATCAACAATAAATGGTTGAATAAATAAAAGAAATATAAATAATAAATAAAATTTGAAATATAATTTTCACCTTAAATGCCATGGCTGCTGCGGTGTGTAAACTTTTGTTAAACTGAAGGATGTGAGAAGATCGAATGATGCTGTCTCGGTGACGAGCAACTCTTTTTATATGAGTTCTCTCCCCAGTATATTGGGTGATGATTCCCGCAGGCAAAGAATATAATCGTGTAACGATAACCCACGGGATTGAAACAGAAAAGTCTGTTTCGTAATCGCTGGACCAATTGGAGGGGTAGGGGGGGGCATATAGTATATACACACACACCACGCCCTACATTTTCGACTTGGACCACGCAGCATTACAGCCAAAAAACGTCGAGACACCTGATCCACTTTTACATATACGTAACACATATGAGAGAGAGAGATAGAGAGAGAGACAGAGAGATAACTCGTTATGTTACGTCTCTTATGTAACTTTCACCCGCCGTTCTCATCTCATTACCTCACAATCATTTTCTTCTTTTTGGATATATTTTTTTTTCTTTTTTCCTTTTATTACACTACTCTCGCGATGATCGTCCTCGGTCCTCTTCTCCTCTTACTCTTTGATACCCTAAATAATCTTTTATTTCATCCTCTTACTTTTATTCCCTTGGTTTTTTTTTCCTTTTTTATATATACTTTTATTGGCTTCCCTTCATTATTTATTTAAATTATTATATACACAGAGAAAATATTTCTTTCACAGAAAATTAAAAGGCATTAAAATAAGCTGCAACGCTTCTTATTTTAATCCAATTTTGCTTATTTTAATCCATTTTGGTATTAAAATAAGCAAAATTGGATTAAAATAAGAAGCGTTGCAGCTTATTTTAATGCCTTTTAATTTTCTGTGTTGATTTAAAGAAACCAATTTCTTTTTTCATTGAAAATAAAATTTTCTTTAAAACCAAAAAAAGCTTCTTAATTTCAAAGAAATTTGTGCATTCACGGAAAAAAATCTTCACCTGGAATAAAGATAAATTTCACTGGACCAGCGAAATGTTTTACTAAAACAGGGAAAGTTTTTGCTATTCTAGAGAAACATATCCTTGTTTCAGATAAACATTTTTTTTCTTGTTAAATCAAAGAAATTTTAACATTGCACTCAGAAAAAAATTCGTTTGAAGCAACCAAATTTTGGTTAAATCAACAAAAAAAAATGCATTGATATACAGTTAACCAAACATTTGGTTGCATAAACCCAAACGTTTATTTAGTTCAATCAAATTTTTTTCTTTGTTCAAAAAATTTATTAAAATAAACCAAACAGTTATTTAGATCAAATATAAATATTTATTTGAATTAAACAAATTTTGTTTCAACTAACCAAAAAATTGGGTAAATATAAAAGAAATGGTACATTTGGTTCAAACATATCTTTTTTCTGAGTGTGATATCACAGAATATTAAAAGGCATTAAAATAAGCAGCAACGGTTATTATTTTAATCCAATTTTGCTTATTTTAATCCATTTTGGTATTAAAATAAGCAAAATTGGATTAAAATAATAAGCGTTGCAGCTTATTTTAATACCTTATAATTTTTTGTGATATAGGCTCAAAGAAATATTTATTTGGAATTAAATATAAAAAATTTCTTTGAAAGGAAGAGAATTTTTTTTTTATCAAAGATAATTTCTTTGAAACAAATAAATTTTCTTTGTATATAAAAAATATTTGTGAAAGAAATTTTTTTTTCTAAGTGTATTATTAAATTACATCTAGAAAAATTATTCAATACAAGAAAGAAAGAAATTAAAAGAAATAAAAAAGAAATTAAATAATAGTAATTAATTTACTAAAAGTAAATAATTTTTTTATCTTTTTGCATAAAATTTTTATTGAAAATTAATATACCTATAAATTATAATAATCTATTTTAAACAATTGATAAACAATGATGAAATGGATATATGAGTTAAAAAAAGTTTTTTTTCTCTCAAGCAAAGAGTTGAAATAATATTAACTTATTATAGAGTGTTCAACTTGAAATTTATTGCATCATTATTTCATCATTATTATTATTATTATTATTATTATTATATTCTCCCATGTTTTCTGAAGTGTCAGTCATAAAAGTTAAACATGCTGTTTAGCCAAATTAAATCTTTTTGTTATCCCTTCTCTCTCTAAAAAAAAAATGTCTAACAATGTTAGCCTTCGAATTATAGTAAATGGATAGAGTGAGAGAATTAATTACTCTTAAAGATTTATGTATATAAACAGCTTAAAATTAAATCTCGAGTTTAGTCTCAATTTAACTATAATAAGCTATGATCGCTTTTTGGACCTATGACCCTGAGGTTATTTTCTTTTGACCCGATTCTTTGACCTAATTTTTATGATTTAATTTTTCAAATGTTTTATTAACACAGAAAATTAAAAGGCATTAAAATAAGCTGTAACGCTTATTATTTTAATCCAATTTTGCTTATTTTCATCCAATTTGGTATTAAAATAAGCAAAATTGGATTAAAATAATAACTTATTTTAATACCTTATAATTTTCTGTGAACGTTACATTTTGAGTTAAGTTACGTTAAAACTTCCTAACTTAGTGGTAGCATACATATAACTGATTGTTATTAAAATTATTTTTAAAATAGTTCTTCACCTTGAAAAATTCAGGGGTTCCATTCAACATTGAGCCCTGGGGCTCTTGAAATTAATCAATTCGCAAAAAAGAGAACCTCCAAATCTTTCTATTTCAAATCTAGACACAATAAAAATAAAAAAAAAAAGAATGATACGAGACATATGGGGCCGATTTTTTATTACGTAATGCAAAATTTTGTAAGAAATATTTTTCAACATCTTGTATATGTATACATAATGTGTAATTGTCATGTTTTCACATGATGTAATGGTGTGAAGCAGCATTCTTTTACCTTTGAAAATTTCAAATATAAGTGTCCCTCCGACCTTAAATATCATTGGCTTCGTATATTTATTAAATTGAACTAACTTTTTTGTTTCGTTTTTTTTTGTTGTTGTAATATATATAGCATATATGCCTTTTATATAATAGTCATAGATTTAGCAATCGTGTGTTGAAAAAGAATATATCAAGTTAGGAGAAGTTGATTTGAATTCATTTGGTTTATTTCTTTCTTTCGAGATGGATCGATTTGTAAGTTCTTATAAGCACTCTATTATTTTATGTAAATACTGTTATTTTTTAACATGAAAAAAATTTTTAAAATTATACAAAATTTTTCTTTTTGAATAGTCTTTATCCTTTTTTTTAATCTCCTTGTATCTTCTGTTTCATCTCCTTGACAATAATAATAATTTTTTCTTTTCGAACTTTAAAAAAACACTTTTTATAACCTATAGATTTTTATATAGTTAAATAAATATTTTAGATTTTGGGCCTGATTTCTTTACATCTGATGACTTTTAATGTTTTGGCGGGTGTGATTGTAACACCGACATTAATTGGCGAAACTTACATTCAACCTGATTTATCTTCTATTAGAAAAATTCCTATTGAAAATCCAAATTACAGTAATTTGGGATTTTATATTTTAAATGTTGACAAATCTCCAAGTAGTGCTTTAAAAAATATTAATTTTCACGATCCTCATACGAAAGAAGTTTTAATTAATAGTGAATTGATAAAAAAAATGGAAATTCTTCCTCCTGGATATGTTTCTTTGGCTGGAAAAATTAATACTCCCCCTGGATATAGTGTCACAAATGAGGAAAAAAACGACGAAAAATATTTTAACTATTTTATTGCATAATAACATGATTAATCTAATCGTTGTACAATTGTTTTTAATAAATATTTTGTGAATATATTTTTTAATTATTTTTCACGCAGGTATATTGATATATATATACTAAAAAAAATGTAATTTGTAAAAGATGAAAATTAAAATTAATACGAATCAAAAAAAATGAACTGGAGAATTTTCATAATATCCAAAACGTCCAAGTAATAGACGTAGAGGTGTGAATGAAAAAGGTTTTCCTGTTAAAGGTTTTCTGCGTATAATTATTTTGAAATTATTTAATGGATTGACAATATATTTAAAACCATGAGTTTCGTCGATAATCAAAAAACCATTTTTAAAAATGTTTTCTTCTTTTTGAAATTGTAAATTTTCTTTTATAGAATTGACAGTATTTGCAGGATTTGTATTTTCTGGTCTTGAAAGAACCGGAGGAAATTGCACAGGACCAAGTGCTGTTTCCGGTTCAGTTTCATAATTTGGAATTATTAAACTTTTTGCCCCGGCAAAAAGTAGACTAATGGCAAAAATCTGCAAAAGAAATTTAAATATTTAATCATTTGTTTTGTCTGACAGAAATTGTCTTTTACTACTTACAAAAATTTAATAAAACTGTCATATTCAGATGAATATAAAAATTTTAGAAAATAAAATTGACTGACTAAAACTGAATTCAACTACTTGTATCAAAGTTGCAACTAAAAAATGTTGCCTGACTAAAACTGTCTTTTACTACTGATGCTAAAATAACAATTAAACACGTTTTGTCTGATTAAAACTAACTTGTACCACTTACAGTAAAAATAAAGTTTTAAACATTTTTCCTGACTAAAACTTACTTATACTACTTACATTAAAAATAAAATTTTAAATACGTTTTGTCTGACTAAAACTGACTTTATCTACTAACTTTTTTTTCAATTAACAAAAAAAAATAATTAATAAATATATAAATTAGTAATTAAATATAATTAATAATAAAATTTCACAAAATTATTATATAATAATCACACATTTTATCTTATGAAAAATACCTGTATTTTCATGATGATGATGATGATGATACTCTAGTAATGAACAAAACTTGAATTGTCTCACAGTTTCCTGGCAAATGTTATATAGCCCTCGGCAATTTGATATCTGATGTTGTTATAGCTATATGTATATAACTTGAAGATATGCAAAAAGAAGATATGATATATTACCTTGATATGGTCGTTGATCATTTGATATTTTTTTCATCTTTTTTTTTTTTTTTTTCTCTCAAGAATTTCGAGAAGGAAAAATGAAGTTTTAAACAAACCGCAAAACCATTCAAGGTTTGCATGGTTCAAGGGGTTAAAAATTTTATACATAAGATAAAAATATACCATGAAATAAGAAGGTCGTTTCAGTTAGACCACCTGGGACTTTTAAGATTTACGAGAAGATTCTGACTGATTTGCGTTTTGGTCCTTGGATTTTTCTCTCAACACTACTCGATGTATCACATTTTGCGCATCATATTTTCATGTTCATATTATTATTTTTGCAAACAACATCTTTGTTTTACAATTTTAACGAGAATTATACGACTTAAGAATTTATAAATATATATATATATATATATATATATATATATATATATATATATATATACATATATTTGTGTTGCTTATGTTTTATTTATCTCGATGAAAATATTTTTCTATTTTCAATATACATGATTTTATCTTAAAATAAAATTAAATGTATAAGCATTATGTCTGGTAAAATTAGAATATATTGTATTCTTATAACATATATATTCGAAAGAAAGATTTAGTTTTTGATTAAAATTATTCTTCTATATTTAAGAGTAGTTAAATGAATGATATAAAGGTGTAAATATACACGCATAGAAAAAATTTGCTGTGGCAGCGAATTATTTGCTGTCACATCAAATTACAATATAGGAACAGCGAACAAATTTGCTGTGGGGTCAAAAAACCCACTTGGAAAGATTCCCCGGAGAGTGCCCCCTGGAGGTTCTATTAGAATTTCGCCGGAACTTCCAACGTAATTCCATCGGAATTCCATCGGAATTCCATCGGAGTTCCAAAGAATTTTCTATGGGATTCCGACGGAATTCCGATTAATTTTTTCAAAATTGTTAGAGTCCTACATTAAGAAAATTATTATTATTTATAAAATAGAACTTTTAACATAGAAACTTTACTAAAAAATTATCTTAGTGTATGACTCAGAAGATTGAATTATCAGAGAAACATTGTAAAAAAAATGTATTTTTGATGAAACATTTCCGACTTTAAAAGATTCCCCCAGAAAGAATTCCCTGAAGATTTGCAATAATTATTTCCAGTTGTTTAAGAGTAAAAAAATTGATAAAAATTATAATATTATTAATTTATATTAGTAAAAATAATTTCTTGCAAGACTAACTTCTAAAGTTTAATTTTACACAAGGAATACCGAGGGGGAATTGTAATAACAGTGTAATAAGGGAGTCAATGGTACTCAACTTGTTATTATTTTTATTATTATCAAAATGATTAATAATTTAGAAAAAAAAATTTATCTCTTGATGCTTGTCCAAATGAATGCTGGACAATGGAAAGCTAGTTGATTTCTAGCTCTGCTGATAAATATTTCATAAAAAATAAAATTCTTTTTAGTAATGTTTCTATGACAAAAATTCTATTTTATAATAATAATAATAATAATAATAATAATAATAATAATAATAATAATAATAATAATAATTTTCTTAATGTATGACTCTAAATATTAAAAAAAAATCAATCGGAATTCCGCCGGAATCTTATCGGAATTCCGTAGGAATCCCATAGGAAATTCTTTGGAACTCCGATGGAATTCCGACGGAATTTTGATAGAACCTCCAGGGGGCACTTTCCGGGGAATCTTTCCAAGTGGGAAAAATGGGAAATTTAAAAAAATTAAGACTGATATTGTTTATCATAGCAAACTTTTTCGTTGTCATAGCAAAAAATTTAGCTGTGGTTACTAATTTTGATGGATCCAATAGCAAACATTAGTTAGCATCTGTAAGCAATTCCTTTTTTTCCGTGTATTTTTGTTTGAAAATTTGATTAAGAGAAAAATATTTTCAATTTGAGTGGAATAATATTGAAAATTGTTGAAAGAGAGTTGTTACGCATAAAATGAGGTGAATGTCCGCGAGAGAAGACGAGTTCATGATTATATATATATATATATATATATATATATATATATATATATATATATATATATACAAAAGGTTGGATGAGAGGAAGAGCCAGTGACCTTCAGAATACAGCCGGTTATGAAAGTGACTTCTTTAGATTGAGGATGAAGATGCAGACTTATTTCGGTCACAGTCAGAAAGATCTTTGGTCATGGTCAAGGTTACTACTCATCTTCTCATGATTGCATATATATATATATATATATATAAAAAAAAATATTTATGTGTAATGATTCACTCGAAGAATGAGATGATTTTAACTCGAACTGCAAATCAATATTCATTCACGTAATTTTTATACCTTTTTTCTTGCTTCTATAAAGAATCGAATTATTTTTATTTTTGGCACAAATTCTTTAAAAAATAATTTTATATTAAGAGGACTATTGCTGTTTTTAGTTATCCTCTTAAAAACCAAAAAATTTTTTAATTTATAAAATATTTATAAAAGGAAGTATAGAAAATAGTATATCTCTTCGAATAAAATAAAGAGTTTCTGTATCATATTATCAAGAGTTGTGACTAGGATTAATTTTTTTCAAAAGTATTTTATAAATATTTGCATAAAATGACAAATATTTGTAATAATAATTATTATCACTAAATAGTAATTTGTATGTCTTCGAAGGACGATTGCAAAAAAAAAATTTAAAAAAAAATGATTTATTAGTTGATTGCATTATAGGTCGAAATTGTTATTCCAATGATGTTCTTTCTATGACGGAAGCGTTATACTTACGCGAAAGAGTAAGTTATTCTTACGCAACAGTGAAAGCATGATTCGGTTAGAAAAATTATTGTCAAGAATAATTATTGTGAATGAAATTTTGAAAAATGCAAATTTTTTTCCAATTTTTTTATGGACACAACAAAATTTATTTAATACAATTTTATTTGAGAAGAAATAAAAATGTTTTTGTGAGTTTGGCGAAAAAAAAAACTTACAACTCTTTAATAATTATTTTATTGCTAATTAGTTAATTATTTCAAATTTTCTAATTTAATTATATGATAACTAATTTGTTAATGATGTGATTACTAATTAGTTAATTTTTTTAGACTAATTATTATTATTCATTAATTAATGTCAAAATAGTAATTGATAATTAGTTTTGTTGATTTTTTTTTTTCAACAATTTTCGAAAGTTATTATATCGCGATTTAAAAATGAAGATAGCATAACATATAAGTGAAGAATAGAGAGTGAACGTGACAAATTCTGGGGCAAATGAAACTTTTCCTGAGCGCCATAAAGGAGTTGATCACGTACTCGTCCTGGAACTGTTTACAATGCAAGTGGGGTGATGAATTCTTTTTTTTTTTTTTTTGTGTGCATACATATGTGTGACTAAACCCTATATACGACATGTGTCTACCATTCGTATATAAATACTTTCGTTTTGAATCAACAGGACATCAGTCTTTCAATTGTCTTGTTCTTGATATCTTTTCGGGACACTGAAATCATTGAACAATGGCCATTAAGGTGAGATTTTGAATTTTTCGTCAATTTTTTTATTTGTGGTGATAGAATTTTGAAATTTGTTAAATTCGCGAGTGTCAAGAAAAAAGTGATTTGTTCACAAAAAAAAAAGATTTGCCTGGAACGTTTCACTATAGCAGCAAATATATTACTTGTTTTTAGATAAATCTTTCGCTATTCCAGTGAAACCTTTCGCTGTTTCAGATAAATCTTTTTTTCCGTGTTTTGGTTTTTTTTTTTAATAATTATTTAATTTTTTTATTCTTTAGTTTATACCTTTCACTCAAAATTTTTCTTATTAATTTTGATGGAAAAAAATAATGTTCTCTTTAATTAAATTATTGAATCCATTTTTCTAATGTGGCTACTGCTTTTTTTTTTGCAGATTTTTGTCATCATTGCAACGAGTATAATGATGGCCAGAGCCAGTGTAGTGCCAGGTGTACCTGTAGCAGTAGCTCCACCGCCATTGGTCAAAGTTGATGACTATGATCCACATCCACAATACACTTACGCCTATAATGTACAGGATAGTTTAACGGGTGATGCAAAAAGTCAACACGAAACACGCAATGGAGATGTTGTTAGTGGAAGTTACAGTCTTATTGAGGCAGATGGAACTAGAAGAATTGTTGAATATTTTGCCGATCCAATTAATGGATTTAATGCAGTTGTTCATCGAGAACCAGCTATTGTTAAAGCTATTCCTCCTGTGCCAGTAATTCCGCCAATTCCACAAATTCCACCACCAGTTCCAGTAATTCCAGTAGCTAACAATGCTCATCCTTATGTGGCACCATCTCCATTTGCCTATCATCATTGATTATTATCTAATCATTTTTCTGACTCAATTGTCCTAGTCAAATCATTGTAAATATATAAATATCTATTGTTACTTCTTTTGTACTTATTTTACTGAATAAAAATATTTTTCTTAAAATATTCATACGTCGTTTAGTTTAATTTATTAATTACGAAGCTAAATTATTAATGAGTTTCTAAGAAAAAATTGGATAATTAGTTGTGAAAGCTAATTTATTAGGTACTATATAAATTGGGAATTAATTAGGTATTTATTTAGGTATCTAATTACACTCTGGATGAATAATTAATTACCTAGATAATTAGGTTCATCGACAATTAATTATTTGTCTAGATAATTAATTTCTAAGTTGATTATTTACCCAATTAATTTGCATAGTTAATTAGTTACAAAGTTAATTATTTACCTCATTAATTAGTTACCTATTTAATTAGTAACCTACTTAATTAGTAACCTAGTAGTTAACTTCCTAATTAATTAGTAACCTAGTAATTAACTTTCTAGTTAATTTGTAACCAATAAATTAACTTCCTAGTTATTTAGTAACCTAGTAATTATTAACTTAGTAATTAGTACCCTAGTTAATTAGTAACCTAGTAATTATCGTCCTAGTTAATTAGTACCCTAGTTAATTAGTAACCTAGTAATTATCGTCCTAGTTATTAGTAACCTAGTAATTATCGTCCTAGTTAATTAGTACCCTAGTTAATTAGAAACCTAGTAATTATCGTCCTAGTTAATTAGTACCCTAGTTAATTAGTAACCTAGTAATTATCGTCCTAGTTAATTAGTAGCCTAGTTAATTAGTAACCTAGTAATTATCGTCCTAGTTAATTAATAACCTAGTAATTATCGTCCTAGTTAATTAGTACCCTAGTTAATTAGTAACATAGTAATTATCGTCCTAGTTAATTAGTACCCTAGTTAATTAGAAACCTAGTAATTATCGTCCTAGTTAATTAGTACCCTAGTTAATTAGTAACCTAGTAATTATCGTCCTAGTTATTAGTAACCTAGTAATTATCGTCCTAGTTAATTAGTACCCTAGTTAATTAGAAACCTAGTAATTATCGTCCTAGTTAATTAGTACCCTAGTTAATTAGTAACCTAGTAATTATCGTCCTAGTTAATTAGTAGCCTAGTTAATTAGTAACCTAGTAATTATCGTCCTAGTTAATTAATAACCTAGTAATTATCGTCCTAGTTAATTAGTACCCTAGTTAATTAGTAACCTAGTAATTATCGTCCTAGTTAATTAGTACCCTAGTTAATTAGAAACCTAGTAATTATCGTCCTAGTTAATTAGTACCCTAGTTAATTAGTAACCTAGTAATTATCGTCCTAGTTAATTAATAACCTAGTAATTATCGTCCTAGTTAATTAGTACCCTAGTTAATTAGTAACCTAGTAATTATCGTCCTAGTTAATTAGTACCCTAGTTAATTAGAAACCTAGTAATTATCGTCCTAGTTAATTAGTACCCTAGTTAATTAGTAACCTAGTAATTATCGTCCTAGTTAATTAATAACCTAGTAATTATCGTCCTAGTTAATTAGTACCCTAGTTAATTAGTAACCTAGTAATTATCGTCCTAGTTAATTAGTACCCTAGTTAATTAGAAACCTAGTAATTATCGTCCTAGTTAATTAGTACCCTAGTTAATTAGTAACCTAGTAATTATCGTCCTAGTTATTAGTAACCTAGTAATTATCGTCCTAGTTAATTAGTACCCTAGTTAATTAGAAACCTAGTAATTATCGTCCTAGTTAATTAGTACCCTAGTTAATTAGTAACCTAGTAATTATCGTCCTAGTTAATTAGTAACTTAGTAATTATCGTCCTAGTTAATTAGTAACCTAGTAATTATCGTTCTAGTTAATTAGTACCCTAGTTAATTAGTAACCTAGTAATTATCGTCCTAGTTATTAGTAACCTAGTAATTATCGTCCTAGTTAATTAGTACCCTAGTTAATTAGAAACCTAGTAATTATCGTCCTAGTTAATTATTACCCTAGTTAATTAGTAACCTAGTAATTATCGTCCTAGTTAATTAGTAGCCTAGTTAATTAGTAACCTAGTAATTATCGTCCTAGTTAATTAGTACCCTAGTTAATTAGTAACCTAGTAATTATCGTCCTAGTTAATTAGTACCCTAGTTAATTAGAAACCTAGTAATTATCGTCCTAGTTAATTAGTACCCTAGTTAATTAGTAACCTAGTAATTATCGTCCTAGTTATTAGTAACTTAGTAATTATCGTCCTAGTTAATTAGTACCCTAGTTAATTAGAAAGCTAGTAATTATCGTCCTAGTTAATTAGTAACCTAGTAATTATCGTCCTAGTTAATTAGTACCCTAGTTAATTAGTAACTTAGTAATTATCGTCCTAGTTAATTAGTAACCTAGTAATTATCGTCCTAGTTAATTAGTAACTTAATAATTAGCTACTTAGTTAATTAGTAACCTAGTAATTAGGTACTTATGTAATTAATTAATTTAATACCTTGCTTATTAATTTATTAATTATCAAGAATTTTAGATAAATAATTACAAAATTAAAACATGATTAGGTACAGAATTAAATTTTTAATTTACATAATTAACTTTAAAAATTAATTAATTACTTATAGATACCTGAATAATTGAAGTTTATTCTTTATAGGTACAAAGTTATTAAATCAGTTGTTTAAACATTTTATAACTAAATTATCTTTGTAATAATAAATAAATAAATAATAAAAAATTGTCTATGATGTAATAATTAAAAAAAAAAAATTTCTTCATTAGGGGCGTATGTTTAAGTAATGCCAAGTGTTACTCGATAGCATTTCGTGCACTTTTCAGAAACTTGAGCAACACCTGGCAAGTGTCTAGAATCCGTAAATGGGCCACTGACATTGAATTATCCATTTTTAAATTAAACTCTCAGTGCCAAGGCGCACTTTCACCCTTACTATGTATATGATTCAACTCAACGCGCATAATATCTAATTTTGTTGTATTATAACATTCTAAAACCTGTTTTGCAAATCGTTTATAGAATATAAGTGATCGAATCATTTGGTGTTTAAGTTTTATAGAGAAAATAATTTCATAATCGGTCTCCTCTTTTCATTCACCTTCTTAAAAAAAAAAAATTGCAAGATAAAAAATTAATCAATATTTTATAATTATATCAAAATGTTTTTATAAACAGAAAATTTTTCCGAAAGTTTTGAAAATATTAAGGAAAAAAATTTTAATTAATTTTTTTTTGATAAACATGTAAAAAATTATTATTATTATTTATATAGTCTCCTTCATTTTTTGTTAAACGTGTGTACCTTAATATATACCTGAAGGGTTTATATTATACATGTATGAATCAAGAGAAGAATATTAAAAAGAGATTTTACATTGCCCCAAATTTGTTTGCAAACGTTTCAGTCGAATGTATATATATATAATTGAAGGCGAGTGACACTTTAATTGCATGTATGATGTGGATTGAATCAATATTTTCATATTTTCAATCCAAGAAAGTATATAACAGTTTCAAGTACAACATGCGACTTACTTGGAAGATGTACATTTTTTTTTTGTTTAATTATATTGCCAAATGATATTTCTTAACTGCATTTATATTGCATAATTACATATATATACATATCGTTATGGTACAAATTTAATTCGACGTTTTGACATGTCGAGCCGTAATTGAAACGTGTAATCATTAAAAAATATATTGAAACAATTTACTTTTCATATATTAATTATTACTAATTAATAGTTAATTTATAATAAAGACATTATTTTTTATATAAATAGAAATTGGTTTTTGAATTTTTATTTATATATTTATTTTTTCATAAAAAAAGAGAGAATTCAATAGGCTACTTTACCTTTTAAGGTAAAGAAGATTTTTTTTTAACTTCCTTATTAAAAAAGCGTAAAAGACATCGTGAATCCTTCGAATTTGGAGACTGGATGAGAATTTAAATGAAACTCTTCTTTTTTTGTGAGTCGAAAAAATCATTTGTGAGACAAAAAAAATTGACTTCTTTGATTTAGTTTTCAAGTCGCGTAATAGACTCATCGGGAGTGTTGTTGAAAGAAGACGACGTCAATATATATGAAGAAAGATAAGAAATACATTGGTACATGGTACTTGGTTATTGAGGAGGTCAAATTCTAGGTGGGGATGCATTTGGGTGCAAATGTAATTTTTATACTATTGCTTTATTGTCACTAAAAACATGACACGCGTTCATTGTATATAAAAGCCCTGTCGATCTGATCATCAGACATCAGTTCTTCTGTGATCTTTTTATCAAAAACATGGCTCATAAGGTAATACCGAAAAAAAATAGTAACATTTTTTAGGTTTCTTAATTTCAATTTTGAATTTTAGATTATTATTTTCTTGGGTCTGGCAGTTTTTTCACAGGGAGCACTGGTACAAGTTGCTCAACCTGTTCGTGTAGTTGAATCGATACCAGTAGCTGATGTCAATAATTATGATGATACAGTTCCACGTTATAGTTTTGCATATGATGTTCAAGACGCAATAACTGGCGATTCAAAAGCACAATACGAAACTAGAAATGGAAATATTGTTCAGGGTAGTTATAGTCTTATTGAAAGTGATGGAACAAGAAGAACGGTTTCATATACAGCTGATGATGTCAATGGATTCAATGCTGTGGTTAGCAAGGAACCTGTAGTTGCAGCAAACAGTAAAAAAAATACTATTTTAAGAAATTTAAAAAAAAAAATTTAGATTACCTAAACTTTCTTTTTACTATTTAGTTGCAACTCCAGTAGCTACATCACCACTAGTTCCAGTGGCAGGAATTTCGCCAGTGATTCCTGATGTTTCATTGGCTGAAAATTCTCCAGCAGCATCCAATGGACCAGTTCCAACAATCCCATCGAGTGGACCAGATTCGGATGTCGAGGTGGTTGAAGCAAGATCGGGACGATTGATTGCTGGACAATCACAAAATTTGCGAGTGAAATCAAGAATTAATAATTCTCCAATTACAAATTCAGAGCAATATCAGAAACAAATGGAATATGTTCCAGTGAGAGCTCGTGCTACATCTGTTGTTCCAGTTGGTAAAAATTTTCAAAGAATTGTCAATGTACCAGAATCTCGTCTCACTTATCCGGCATATTCAACTTATTCGTCACCATTTGCATTTGCAAATCCCTCTGAAGGATTCACTTATACATACCTTTAATCTTATTGTATATGAACATTTTTTGAAATAAATATATATGTATCGCTTTATATCGTATAATAATAAATATTATATTTTTACAAGCCTGTTTTATTTATATCTGTTTCGTTTTTTAAATTAATTATAATAATAATAAATAACAATTAAAATCTAAAATTTATTCTGTTTGGATTAAAAAAAAATACACTACTTTTTAGGTCATTTGAAAAAATACAATTCAAATGAATTTTGATGGACCTGTATACAAAATTTGTCTATATTGATCTAAGATATTTTGAACTATGATCATTGAACATGATTTACATGGATTCAAAGGAATAAATTTTTACAAACAGATTTCTCGCTTTCTATTATGCAAAAATTGTGTGATCATATTAGAAAGACTGAATTTAAATAAAAGAATTTCAATTCATCTTCATATTTTTTTTTTTTTGTATAATTTTAAAAAGAGTGCTAATTCATTTCGAAGTAATTATATTTTATTAAGATCTCGATTATATAGTATATATATACTTATTGCTGTTACAGCTTATGATAAAAATAAAAAAATTTTAAATATATTGTGCAACTTGTCAAAAAGAGAAACATGAGCATGAAGCCGGTAAATGTGGATTGAATTTAAAATGAAACTTCTTGAGTATAGTTGCCTTCGCAATTCACCTCTTTGTCAACACAATATTATTCATAGTAATTACAATTCGCCATGAACGATAACAAAATACGTGATTTTGCCTTGTGCGCGCTGAATGATGAAAAAGGGCTTCGAAAAAAATTTGGAGCTCTTTTCTGAATTCTGATGCAGTTTTTTTTTCTGTGTTGACAAAAAAATATTAGTAAAACAATTTTTGGATATTTAAATTTTTTTTTCAATTTTTCCAAAAAAACATAATTGTTCAGATTACCCCCGCCCCCCAAATATATGGTTTGGTTTTAAAGAAAAATAAATTTTTTTAAGATCACAGGCCACTTGGAAAGATTGCGCGGAAAGTGCCCCTTGGAGGTTCTATCAAAATTCCGCCGGAACTTCCGACTTCCGTCGGAATTGCAAAGAATTTCCGATGAGATTCCGACGGAGTTCTGACGGAATTCCGTTTAATTTTTTTTTAAATTTTTAGAGTCCTAATTCCGTTGGAATCCCATTGGAAATTTTATTGGAACTCCGATGGAATTCCGACGGAATTACGTTGGATGTTCCGGCGGAGTTCTGATAGAACCTCCAGGGAATCTGTCCAAGTGGGAGAAATAGTTTGTCATTATTTTTGCGTGAACATTAATTCGAATATAATTATTATTGTAATCCACAAAGTGGGATCTTTTCGTGGACGTCAAGAAATATTTATAATCGTAAAATTATAAAATAAGTGTTGAAAAAAAGCGTTTTATTTTTTCTTTCTGATGCTGATCCTTGTTTTATTCTATTCCAAATGGAATGTTAAATTAAAAATATATTGGATTTAAATATTTTTATCGATCGTTCGTTTTTAAGAAACAGAGCAAGAATAAGAAAATTAAATTTTAATTTTATAAGAAAATAAAAATAATACTTATATATAGGAAATAATAATAGATTAATATCAGTTTGTAAACCAATTTTGAAATTAAATTCTGGATTTCGTTTTACATGTTTCTGATTATCTTCTATTATATTAAGTTAACAAATTTCGAAAAACGACACCGACCCCGTGACCTCGACACCGTCCTTGAAAAATCTATTTTCAATTATTTTCAAATAAATCAAAATACTTTGCATATATGCTTTTAGAAAATCTTACAAACTATTTTTATGTAACATCTTTTTTCAATTTGAACCCGAAAAAGGGTTATTTTGCAATTTTTTAAGAATTTTTTGATTTTTTCAATTTTTTATTATTATTTTTTATTATTTATTGTTGTTTTTTCAATTTTTAGTTAGTAACCTATAATATTGTATCTAATTTTAAGTGTCATTAAAATCAAATGTTTTTAACTTAATAATTTTAACATTTCTTAATTTAAAACGAAACATCTTCTATTATATTAAGTTAACAAATTTCGAAAAACGACACCGACCCCGTGACCTCGACACCGTCCTTGAAAAATCTATTTTCAATTATTTTCAAATTAATCAAAATACTTTGCATATATGCTATTAGAAAATCTTACAAACTATTTTTATGTAACATCTTTTTTCAATTTGAACCCGAAAAAGGGTTATTTTGCAATTTTTTAAGAATTTTTTGATTTTTTCAATTTTTTATTATTATTTTTTATTATTTATTGTTGTTTTTTCAATTTTTAGTTAGTAACCTATAATATTGTATCTAATTTTAAGTGTCATTAAAATCAAATGTTTTTAACTTAATAATTTTAACATTTCTTAATTTAAAACGAAACATCTTCTATTATATTAAGTTAACAAATTTCGAAAAACGACACCGACCCCGTGACCTCGACACCGTCCTTGAAAAATCTATTTTCAATTATTTTCAAATTAATCAAAATACTTTGCATATATGCTATTAGAAAATCTTACAAACTATTTTTATGTAACATCTTTTTTCAATTTGAACCCGAAAAAGGGTTATTTTGCAATTTTTTAAGAATTTTTTGATTTTTTCAATTTTTTATTATTATTTTTTATTATTTATTGTTGTTTTTTCAATTTTTAGTTAGTAACCTATAATATTGTATCTAATTTTAAGTGTCATTAAAATCAAATGTTTTTAACTTAATAATTTTAACATTTCTTAATTTAAAACGAAACATCTTCTATTATATTAAGTTAACAAATTTCGAAAAACGACACCGACCCCGTGACCTCGACACCGTCCTTGAAAAATCTATTTTCAATTATTTTCAAATTAATCAAAATACTTTGCATATATGCTATTAGAAAATCTTACAAACTATTTTTATGTAACATCTTTTTTCAATTTGAACCCGAAAAAGGGTTATTTTGCAATTTTTTAAGAATTTTTTGATTTTTTCAATTTTTTATTATTTATTGTTGTTGTTTCAATTTTTAGTTAGTAACCTATAATATTGTGTCTAATTTTAAGTGTCATTAAAATCAAATGTTTTTAACTTAATAATTTTAACATTTCTTAATTTAAAACGAAACATCTTCTATTATATTAAGTTAACAAATTTCGAAAAACGACACCGACCCCGTGACCTCGACACCGTCCTTGAAAAATCTATTTTCAATTCAATTGAATTTTCAATATAGTTTATTGTAGTAAAAATAGAAGTTTTACATATGTACATAAATTGTATTCGTGTATAACAATTGCAAACAATGAAAGATGATTTTTTTTAAAAAAATTATATCTTAAAGTGTATAAGCTGCATATGTCAGAGGAGCTGATAATGGAACTGTTAATCTTGAAGCAACAGCTCTTGGCAAGGTATAAGTCACAGGCGATGCATAAGCAGTTGGTACAGTATAGGGAGATGAAACAGGAACAGCAACTGATGGCGAAGCTATAACTCTTTGAGCAGGAACAGCAACAGATGAGGTCAAGAATCTTTGATCAGGAACAGCAATTCTTTCAGTTTGAACAGCAACTGGTGCGGTTATAATTCTTTGAGCAGGAACAGCAACTGATGGCGAAGCTAAAACCCTTTCAGCTTGAACAGCAACTGGTGCGGATAAAATTCTTTGAGCAGGAACAGCAACTGATGGCGAAGCTAAAACTCTTTCAGCTTGAACAGCAACAGGTGGGGTTATAATTCTTTGAGCAGGAACAGCAACAGATGGCGAAGCTAAAATCCTTTCAGCTGGAACAGCAACAGGTGAAGTTATAACTCTTTGAGCAATTGCTGGTGATGCTACAATTTTTCCAGCTGGAACAGTAGCAACGGCTACTGCTGGTTCTCGATTGACAACAGCGTTAAAGCCATTAATTGGATCACTTGTGTAATCAACAATGCGACGTGTACCATCACTTTCAATGAGACTGTAGCTACCCTGGACAATGTCACCACTTCGTGTTTCAAATTGTGCCTTAGAATCACCAGTCGTTGGATCTTGAACATCGTATGCAAAACTATATTGTGGTACTGCATCAAAATTTTCAATTCTTGACAATATTGGTGCTGCTGGTGCTACATGAGATACTGGAACGACTTTTGCCTCAATGACAATCATCGCCAATATCATGCACAAGAGGGATGTAATCTGAAATTTTTTTTGAAATATCATTAAGCAACTCAATTAGAGAAAATAAAAATGATCTAAAAAATAAATTAGTAAATTTATTTTTGAAAAAAAAGAATATAGCACTGTTATCCTTTGTGGCACTTGGATTTTAAAACACACCTTAGTTGACATTTTTGCGACTTGTTTGATATTATGACTTTTCGTTTATGAATTGAAGAAGACACTGGTGAAAACATTGAGAATTACAGTGCTTATATTGGACGAGAATGTCACAATTTGCTAAACTCCCACTTGTCATGAATAATTGTAATTTCTCATTGCGCACTCAAATGTGCTATTAAACAGAGGGTAGACTGACTAAGGTCGCACATGACGAGACTATTATGAAGGTTATATGTATTTTCCAAGGACATTACACAATTACATATATAAATTGACAATAAGGAATTTCCAATAATTTTCAAATATCAAAATTTAAAAGAATTATTATTTTCAATAAAATATTTGTATATATTCTTTTTTTTTCTCATGCATATTTAACGAAAGTCGATTTCATAATCGAGAGAAAATAAATCTCGACTAAGAAATGCAAGTTTAATGGCTATATGGCAAAAGCGGAGATTATAAACAGAAAAAAAAAAGAAGAAGGAAAATATTTGCGAGGGTCATTGCTGTGTGTTTCTTCGTTGTCCATTAAGATAGGTAAGGCTCATTTGTTTTCCAGTTCATCGAGAAAAGATCTTATTTTCTTCTCTCTTGGTACAGCAAGACAAAAGACTCTAAGGTAAATAATTCACGCGTACTACAATCTGGTTCGTGAAATTCCGCACCAGCAAAAACAAAGAAGTTGATGATTTTTTGTTTTCTTTTTTGTGTTAGGCATTTAAGACGCGTTACTCTCAAGAGATTATAATGCGGCGCTTGTTATTTATTGGGGGGCCCGTCATCCATTGCGCGAGAAGTCCTACAAGAATTTTCTCACATATTCGCGCACACATTATTTCTTGACACCGCTGACGGTGCGGTGAGAATTTCTTGAAATTTTATGTCCCTACTCAATTCCATAAAAATTTAGTTGCTCAAAAACATCATATTTTGTGGTTATTTTATTGCTAGACATTTTAAAGGGAAACAAACAGTTACTAATAATACAGTACAATAAGTATAAAATATATAATATAATTTATTTATTTATTTATTTAAATGATAAATAATGCCAATTTAGTTAATTTTAGTTATATATATACCTCAAGGTAATATTACCGGGAATATTACTGTAACATTAACAGTAAAATTACAGTAATATTACAGACTGATTTGAGTTATTCATAAAGCATAAAAAACGTAAATATATTATAAGTCAATTTGGCTTGTTGGTAAAACACTGGACTCGTGTGCTTTGAGTTCGGGGTTCGATTCCCTGGATGGGTAGATTTTTTTCGTAAAGAAATATTCCCATAATATTACTGTAATATTCTCTTGTAATATTACCTTAATATTACGGTATAATATTACTGCAATATTACTGTAATATTACCTTAATATTAGCGCGTAATATTACAGTAACATTACCGGTAATATTACCTTGAGGCGGACATTTTAAGATCACTGTAAGATTACTGTAATATTACAACGTTATATTACGAATCTTACGTGTAATATTACCTTGATATTGAGGTAATATTACGTGCTTCTTGGGTATCTAAGTATATAGTATATCGCTCTTAATTGAATTTAAGTAGCATTTAGTATGCGAACTCATGAATCTCTGTATTTTAAATACTAATAGAATTATTGCTTAACAATAACAATTTAGGGATCCTGATTCTACACACGATTAAATTTTAATGGAGGGGTCAATTCATATAAAATTGAACTTCAATTTAAAAATTGTGATCAGCATTTGATTTTAATCTTTCGCGAAAATGGAACTTAAATATATTCAGAGAAATATTTTATTTGCAATAAATAAACTTTATATTTGAATCAAATAAAAATATATTTTTCTTAGAGCTTAATAAATCTTTTTATTTATTTCAAATAGAAACGAAATAAAATTTTTATTTGAAACAAATAAAATATTTATTTGGCCTAGAAAATTATTAAAATACATTTTTTTTTATCAAAAAAAAAAAAAAATACAATTCAATTAATTAAATTAAAAAAAAACAAATAAATTTTTGTTGAAACAAATTGCTCTGAAATTTAATTAATGATTGACATTTACGTTTATTGAAAACAATATAGCGCAGCAATTGGAGGCACGTTTGACACCTCGCATACAAAATGACAATCGATGCGTCAACACAGATGCTACTTGAGTACGTTTATTATAAGTAAAAGTCCAATGTCAAGTGAATGCATAACTTCTTTTACTTTTATTCTTTTTTTTTTTTTTTTTGTTATTCTTGACGATTCATCGCGTCGTTATCCGTTACATAATCCGTTAGGCTTGTCTTGTTTACGAAAGAACAATGCGTAAATAAAACTCGTAATAAAACGACCTTCGACTACGTGTTCTGCCTAATCAAAAAGTAATACAATTCTTGCACTTTTATATCACGAATTTCGTATTTGATTCAAAAAAAAAAAAAATTATTTTCTTAAAATAAGAATATTTTTGAAATAAGAATAATATTCTTGAAGTAAGAATAAGATTCTTGGGGTATAAGAATAATATTCTTGTAATAATAATATTCTTATAAGAAGAATAATATTCTTGTAAGAAGAATAATATTTCTGAAAATAGGAATATTATTTTTTTAATATAAGAATAATTATTCTTGTACATAAGAATTTATTATTCTTTTGTAATTAGAATAATATTATTGAAAAGAAAAATATTTTTTAAATGAAAAAATTTTTTTGATTAATCCAGTATTTATATAGTTGCAATCTTATCGCAGCAAAAGAATGATTTAGCAATAGAAAGAGCGGAATGTCTGACTATAATAGTGTTGTACTACTTAGAATGTATTTATAAAGTATATCTAAACCAACTGATACATTTTTTTAGAACGTTTCTTTTTTTTTATTTCAATCCTAATTAATGTAAAAAGTCAAAAAAATTTAATTAAATCTAAAAATTTTTAATATATTATAATTAATAAATATTTTTATTCTCATCTGTTAACTAGATACAAATAAAATTGTTATTCACTGAACGTTTACAATATACAATAGGAACGTGTTTGGAAAAGAGATTCACATCATTTGTCAAAACTTTTTTTTTTTTTTTTTTTTTAATTCAACAATATATTTATTTATATTATATTGCTGTATAAAAATACAGTAAAAATGTATTAAAAACATTTAGATTTAAATTAGTTTAAAATCTTATAAAAAAAATAAATTTTCATGAAAAAAAAAGCAGATCAGTTATGAAGATTTGAAATATTCTCTTGATTGTTCAAGTTTTTTTTTATATGTTAAAAAGTAGATCAAACAAAAAAAATTATTACAACCGGTCTTATAATGTGCCAGTGACATAATATGTGCAAATTTTTAATATTCGGCACATTGAATAAGATTTTTCAAAAAATGGTGGATAAAAATAAAATAAAAAAATCAAGTTTTCAATTGTGGTTCCTGTATAATTTCTTTTTTTTTATATATCAACTGTCTTTCAGGTGTATAATAATAAATAAAAAAAAATTTATTTAATAAATTTCTTGAAGAATAATTTTTTTGTAAATAATAATATTTCTTGGAACCCACTTGGAAAGATTTCCCGGAAAGTGCCCCCTGAAGGTTCTATCAGAATTCCGCCGGAACTTCCAACGTAATTCCGTCGGAATCCCATCGGAAATTCTTTGCAACTTCGATGGAATTCCGACGGAATTACGTTGGAAGTTCCGGCGGAATATTCTGATAGAACCTCCAGGGGGCAATTTCCGGGGAATCTTTCCAAGTGGAAAATAACAATATTTATTAATAAATAATTTTTTCTTGTAATATTTCTAACTGCAAGAATAAAAGGCTGGAATTAAATATTTTATTAAATAATAATAATAATTATAAATTAACTATGGGAACATTAGGAAAGGATAAAAAAAATAAATTTTTTAAATTGACAAAATGACAATTTATTTTTGACCTGTGGTCATGTTTTAAGAATACATTCGATGTTTTATTTTTTATTTAAATGTATATTAAAAATATAGCATTTAATTAAAATTTAATTATATCTATATGACTATCATCATCATTATTATTATTTTTTTTTTTTTTTTAATACGATGTTTTAAACTCGGAAGAAGAGGTATTCCCTTTCGACGACCTAAATTTCGAAGACGACATTGATATGAAAGCGAAACCTGTGTTTGCGACCTTCACCGTTATAAGCTTCTGTTCCGTGTAAATCATTACAATGAAAGTAAGATGTATCGCGACGCATCTCTTCTCATTAAAAAACCGAGTTCCGCAATTTACATTCGGGTAGGTCGATGTCGTTTTTATATGTGTAATTATTTAATTATACAATTAATTCTCCCGTATATGAAAAAGAATTTAAAAAACAATAGTATTTTGTTATTATTATAAAAATTGTTGTCTTTGTTATCATAATAATGGCAAAATTTTATATTATTTATGATAATTGATAAATGTTTTGTAAAAATTAAAATTTTGAGCAAAAAATATTTCTAAAAATAAAATTTACTTTTGGAATTAAATTAATTATATACTTAACTTGATAATAAACATTTTTGTTTTAAATTAGTAGTATTTTCTTAATTTTCAAATAGATGACAATTCAAAATAAAAATGAAACTATTTGATAATTAAATTTGAGACATGAAATTATTAGCAAAATTTGTGACACCGTGAGAATTGATCAGTCTTATTGAGAAGAAGGGACAAATTAAAATTTTCTGTTAATGAGAAAGCTGAAAATTTTTTTTAACACTAAAAATTTTCAATTGTTTTTGTTTGTGAAACATTTTTTTCGGAAATTAAAATTTTATCCCTTTAAATATTAAGTAAAATTACCGTTTTCTTCAAAATTCATTGACTAAAAAAAAAAACAACCTATTTTTGAGCACAATGACGATTTTGCAATCAAAGTTTTTCAAAAATATAAAATGGCAATTAATTTTTTTTTCACTATTTGAAAATAATTCCCAATTATCCCTTATAGATAGAATTGAAAAAAAAAATCATTTTTTCCGCATTCTAAAAATTATTTTCAAAATACACACTGTAAAAATGTCTTAAAAACGCTTTCTAAAAAAAAATAGTTAAATTTTTTTTTTTTAACTTAAAACAAAATCGGATATTAATTTTAGCTCTTAAAATCGTTATAATATTCAGTCTTTAGTGTTTTTTCTCTTACATTTATAGGTGTTTTCAGTCTTAAAAATTTCTTTACAGTGTGCATGATTATGTAAAAATCGATTACTTGATGGAGAAAAATTTATATTGGAGGGGAAAAAAAAAAAAAAAATTTTTGCGGAAAAATTTAGTGAGCATATGAAATGTAAGGTGATGTGTATGTTACATGTGCAATATATGAAAGTGGACCTGCATATTTGGTGGCAGCTAAAACAGGTGCCGCTGGAATTTTAGCGATTGGTGGTCCATAAGTTAAAGCTGGCTTAGCGATTGGTTGAGCGTAAGTGATATGCGCAGTGGCAGGTGAAATTTTGGCAATTTGCTGCGCGTAAGAAAGTTGCGCAGGCGCAGCAACAATTGGCGATGCGTAACTGTAATGCGCAGTGGGTGCATAGGCAATTTTTGCTGGCGCTGCTGTAATCACTGGTGCGGCAATTTTAGCCACAGCTTCTTTACGAACAATTGCATTAAATCCATTAACATCATCGGCATGATAGTCCACTATTCTTTTAGTTCCATCAGCCTCCAAAAGGGAATAACTTCCCTGTACCATATCTCCATTACGTGTCTCGTGTTGACTTTTAAAATCGCCAGTCAATGAATCTTGAACGTCATATGCAAAACTATATTGTGGATGTGGATCAAAATCAGCGTCCACTGGTTTTGCTATTAGCGTTGGTGCTGCATAGGCTAATGGTGCTCCAATTGCTCCTGCATTTGCTGCAGCAATCAACGCTGACAGTACAACGAACTGGAATGACAAATTTTTTAAAAATTTAATTAAATTTTTATTTTATTCTTCTTTTAGAAACTATAATAATTTAAATAAAAAAAATATATAATATTATCTAAAATTAAATTTATTAAAATCAAAAATAAATAAAATTCAAAAAAAATAATAAATAAAAAAATAATGATTATTAATAAACAATAAAATGAAATTAAATTCTCACACAAATTTAAAAGTATCAAATTGATATCAAAAATATCAAATTGATACAAAATTTTTATATCAATTTGATATTTTTGGTATCAATTTGATACTTTTAAATTAGTGTGCTGTTAAAATTTTTTTTAAACCTCAAATTATAGGATTGTTTAAAAAAAAAAATAGAATAAAAATTTGATGGATTTTTATTGAATAAAAAAATTTTTCGAAGGGATTTTTTTTTGCCCTTACTTGAAAAGCCATGGTTAGTTGTTGAGGGACTGGTGAATCGTGTGATACTGAGGTAACCAAATGGGGTGAAACGGTATTTATATACGAAGCGAAGCCAACGCATCAACGTTGCATTGCAAATGCATCGAATATTGGATCTCGTAAATGTATATATACAGTTTCCATGATGTAATATGTATGTGTTGTGGTAAAAAAAAATTTTTCCCTTCCCTTTTTTTGCAAAAGTCTGGTCACTGATATGCCCAAACTTCTCTCGGTTAGAGAGAGAGAAAAAAAAAAATTTCAACTTTCACTGGGAATATAATTCTGATGTTAAGCCCTGAAAATAAAAATCATCTCTACCCAATGTCACTATTTGGACCACTATTATCTGTCTTATATAATTTCATTTTAAACCTTAAGGCGCACACAAATACAAATCCATTTATATATATTTTAAAATTAATACACAAGTTCAGGAACAACACATAAGGTCACCCGTTCATCGACTCGAAATCATTTTATATTCCGAGAAATTACAATTTTATTATTGTTATTATTATTATTATTATTATTATTATTATTATTATTATTATTATTATTAATAATAGATTAAAAAATAAATGTAATTAAAATAATTCATATTTAGCGCAGGAAATTTTTACTAATTTCTTTTTTTTTCTTTTTAATTGTATTTTAATTTAATTTTCCAAATTAATTGAAACAAATATATTTACATATTACTTTATTTTTTGACAATATTTATAAATATATTTTTTTTAGAATCTCATAAATAATATCCTATTTAAATTTTTTTTTGAATTTTCCTAATTTGAAATTTTTTTTTATCAATTATTTATTTATTTATTTATTTATTTATCAAATAAACGGGACATGCCCTTTCAATTATCATTATAATTATGATATTTAATAAGGTGTGAAATTTTTTTCTTCCATATTTTATTGATATTATATTTCATAAACAATATGAATTAAAATTTGTTTTTTGAATAAATAAATAAAATAAATTAATCCCCCATCTAAATTATAAAATTTAGATGTAAAAATATTTCACACCTAAAAATATTTCAATGAAAAATGTATAATGATAATATGAATGTGAAGCTATAATTCACGTATACTGATATAGTTTATTAACTCGCGCAATAAAGAAGCCTTGATCTTTTATAATCGCCACTTTAATTTTCACGATTTTTTTTTTATTCTTTCTTTTTTTTTTGGAGGCATGAAATTGATTATACGCCCACTTGTAACAATCTGCCATTGCAGGGGGATTAATTTATTTTTATTTATTTATTCAAAAATCAAATTTTAATTCATATTGTTTATGAAATATGGAAGAAAAAAATTTCACACCTTATTAAATATCATAATAATAATGATAATTGATAAAAAAAATTTCAAATTAGGAAAATTCAAAAAAAAAACAATTAAATAAGATATTATTTATGAGATTCTAAAAAAAAAATACATTTATAAATATTGTCAAAAAATGAAGTAATATATGGAAATATAATATTTGTTTTAAAAATTCATTTAATTGTGCGATAAAAAATAATCGTGCGCATTTCGTGAAAAAGTAAAATAATCGGTTATAAGCCACACCCATTATTATCAAGTCTTAAAAAGTCAAAAATTGTTCCAACTTTCAGTTGAAGACATGTGTTTCAAGTTACAACATATAATAACAGTTATTACACAATGATGATATAAGTATATGTAGATATATAAATTTTTGATACTCGTGTCTTTTCTCCAAAAACTTGATCAATTTTACAAAGTGCTTTTAAAATTAATTATTGTCCCTTATAATAAAAAATTATAGTTTCTTAAAAAAAATATTCTCAATATTAGAAAAGAATATATTTCAAAAAAAAGTGCTCCTCTAAGAAAAATTCTCCTTTTTTTGTAAATTACTCTTACGAAGAAAATTTTATTCTATTTATATTCCTTTTGTCATTATGTTACAAATCGTGATTAAACGATTAGGAAAAAATCTTCCCTTTTACGATAAGTAAAGATCAATGGCAATTCACCTATCTTAATACTCTTTTTTAATTATTTTAATCAATAATTGTCAGAATGTAACTAAAATTATAAATATTAAAACTAACTTATAAAAAAAAGTTAAAAAAAAAAAATCTATAACAAATAATATTGTTTAATAATAATTTTTTTCAAATACACACCATAAAATTATATGGAAAAAATATTTTTTCTCTAATATATTTCTCAACTTCTTTAAAAAAAAAAAATAAAAAATGATTGATCGTTATAATTCAAAATTTATGCACAAAATAATATATTATATATTATAAATACCTGTATAAATTTAACTATTGGAAATAAACTTTTTTTTTATGCATCCTACAATAAAAAAGATTTCATAGAAAAAAATATATTTAGTATTCACAATTAATCAATAATGTTGATTTTATAAATCATTCGTATATGCTTTGGACATTGAGACACTTTTTAAAATTTTGTGATCTATCATTCTTTAATTTTTTTTTTTTTTCTGTGACTTAATATGTATATATAAAACTTTGTCTTATATAAAACTTTCTTGATAAAATTGCAGGTATATATTTTTATATTTGCATGAGAGGCCAAACTGTGGGCCAAGTATGCCACGCCTTAATTACTATACTCAAAAAAAATGAGATCAAATTCACCTTCAACTTTGCTGCATGTATATTGTAACTTTAAAACCTAATTAGCTTGTGGTGTTAATTATTATTATTTTTACATCACCTGTCTTATGTGACTAATTAAAAATATTTGGAATATTCAATTATCTCCCTGGTTTTTTTTCAATTATATATATATGTAATGTTTATTAAACGGATAATTAAAATTTTTTTTTATTAAGAATTTTTAAAATTTTAAATATTAATGATTACGCATGTATGAAGAAAGTTAATTACGATTTTTTGAAATAATTTTTTCAATTTTTTGGTAATGTTTTTTTTTAGGGTTCCGTACTCGAAGGGGGAACCCTATTAATGAGACTAGTGAAGCAAGGCATGTACCCCCCCCCCCCTAGCGGCCTCACGAATTTATCTAGAGGGTTGAAATTTATTATAATATAATATGCATATAATATATATTATATGTGTATTTTGGAGTGTAGATTACAGGAAAACTATAGCGAATCTCATAGGAATTAATTATCATAGCATTGTCAAGGAAAAACCATGAATTTTTAAGAAAAATCCCTGAAAATGACTATGTACCCTCCCCCCCCTGGTTTCCATTTTCCAGGAAAACATTCTATCTAAAAAAATCGAAAAAAATTGATTATTCTTATTCTATTGCAATTTAGGTTCAATTGGTAGGTTTTTTTGAAGGTAATACGTGTTGTTTTAAGGTAAAAAAAATAGGGACATGCTGTTTAATTTTATTTAATTTTATAAGGGATTTTTGCATTTTCCAGGAAAACATTCTATCTAAAAAAATCGAAAAAATTGATTATTTTTATTCTATTGCAATTTAGGTTCAATTGGTAGGTTTTTTTGAAGGTAATACGTGTTGTTTTAAGGTAAAAAAAATAGGGACATGCTGTTTAATTTTATTTAATTTTATACGGGATTTTTTCATTTTCCAGGAAAACATTCTATCTAAAAAAATCGAAAAAAATTGATTATTCTTATTCTATTGCAATTTAGGTTCAATTGGTAGGCTTTTTTGAAGGTAATATGCGTTGTTTGAAGGTAAAAAAATTATAGAGGCAGGCTGTTTAATTTTATTTAAATTTATAAGGGATTTTTTCATTTTTCAGGAAAACATTCTATCTAAAAAAATCGAAAAAAATTCATTGTTTTTATTCTATTGCAATTTAGGTTCAATTGGTAGGTTTTCTTAAGGTAATTTACGTTGTTTGAAGGTAAAAAAATTATAGAGACATGCTGTTTAATTTTATTTAATTTTATAAGGAATTTTTGCATTTTCCAGGAAAACATTCTATCTAAAAAAATCGAAACAATTTATTATTCTTATTCTATTGCAATTTAGGTTCAATTGGTAGGTTTTTTTTGAAGGTAATACGTGTTGTTTGAAGGTAAAAAAATAATAGAAACATGCTGATTAATTTTATTTGACTTTGAAAGGGATTTTTTCATTTTCATTACCGTTTCCACTTCCACTTTTTCTAATTCTCATTCCCATTTTTACTTCCACTTTGTATAATTTTCATGCCCATTTTCACATCCACTTTTTTATTTACATTACCACTTCCACTTTTTCTAATTCTCATTCGCACTTCCATTGTGGGAAAGTGAAAGTGAAAGTGAAATGTGAATGTGAAATGTGAAAGTGGGAATGAGAATTAGAAAAAATGGTAGTGGCAATGATTATAAAAAACTGGAACTGGAAATAGGAATGGCGTTGCAGCTTATTTTAATACTTTTTAATTTTCTGTGATTTTATCTAGGCCTTCAAACTTTAAACCCCTCAAATTTTAGGTTTAAGGGTACGGAACCCTCGGTTTTAATGCGAGTGTAACTCGCACTTGTCCGATTTTTTTAAAATAGAAATAAAAAAAAAACAAAAATTATTATTTGATGCAAATAAAATTTATTTGCAGGTAAAATATAAAAAATAGTATATTTACTGCAAATCGAAGAGTACTATCTGATAAATAGTAATACCATATACGTTTTTCACTTGGAATTTTAATTTTCATAAATTTTCCAAATGTATACAAGTATTTTATTTTTAGATATATATATATATATAAGTGGTTTATGTTTAGTTTACGGAACTTCAATGCAAAAGCTCACTTATAATATCGAAGATGAACCCCCACGATAAAAAGGGCATATGTGACACAAAAGAATTTTGCTCCCGGATATGCTACAGACACCGTAAAGTGAGAATTTACGAGAGTTGCTTGCGTCAAGGTTAACAGTAAACACACACACACACGAACAGTAATGTGGGAAGTCAAATTCTAGGTTTTTTGACGGGCAAAAAAAAAATAATAATTGTAACACAACCATATCAATTTCGTTGAAGAGAAACTGTCAAAACCAAGGTTAAATTGGTTCCTGCTTTCTTTGTGATTAATAGTCTGTGTGTGTGTCTTTCTTTCATTTTTTTTTAAATTTTGCATCTATTCTTTATTGAATAAATATAATTTTAAAGGAAAAATTTAATTTTTTTTTTTTTTGAGAAAAATTTTGCGTTATTGGATTTAATATCTCTCTATATATAGCCTTGAATTTTACTTTCTTTTAAAATATGAGAGCATTAATAACGTCAAGGTCATTTCGGGACCACTGAACTTTAAACTGGTTTTATGTAATATATATATATATATATATATATATATATATAATAATTCTTGTAATTGATTTCTCAAAATCGTTTATCTATTTATGGCTTTATTCTCAATAGATAGAGAATTTCTATTCGAAATAAAAAAAAAAAAAAATTTAGAAACGTTTTTGAACAAGTTTTGCTAATTTTTTTACATGGAAAAAAATATTCACCTGAAACAATATGTTTCACTGGAATAGAGAAATATTTTACTAAAATAGCGAAAGTTTTTGCTATTCTAGAGAAATATATTTTTGTTCCAGATAAAGATTTTTTTTTCGTGTAATTCTTGTTGCAAAAAAAAAAATGTTTCCCCTCAATTAATGTTTAAAAATATAGTTGATTTTTAGTTAATTAAAATTTACTTTTTTTTTTGAAAAAGCAAAAAAAAGTGTTGCTGAGAAAAATATTGAAAATTATTTGAAAATGATCTAAAATTTATCGATAATAATTGAAATCTTAATTTCAATTTAAAAAAAAAAATTTTTTTAATCTAAAAAGGATTTATAGAATTTTTGAGAATTTGAATTTAAAAGGGGTTTTTTGGTTTTTATTTTCTTTTATACACTCCTTGCCTTTCGAGTTGGAACATACTTCCGGTACACTTTATACATTTCAATTTTAATAGAAGTAAATTAAAAATAAAATTCGACATTTCTATTGTATAAACAAAATTTAAGACTTTATTAAACTAAAAGGTTATGTTATTTAGATGTTAAAAAAAATGTTTAACTTTATAAAAATCGATTATTTAAAAAAATATGAGAAATTAAAACTAATACCGTAATTTTCTATATATTGCGGCGCGTTTATATCAGTTTCGGTGTCCAAATTACGTGTATTTTGAACATACTTTGTCCGCCGAAATTGGAGCCAATGGAAATATTAAAAATGTTTCAATTACGGCGAGGGAAAAAATTTGATCTCAAATAATTGAATTAATAATTGTTTAAATGTTCATATCTTCATTAGTAATTGTATCAAAAAATGATTAAAATATAATTTTTTTTAATCATTTTGCAACAGTTATATTAAATATAATAGTAATAATAATTTTTTATGAAAGCGCCGTAATTGATGCACTTACCCTATTAAAATTTACAAAGAATTGACTAAATTATCCAACAAATATAACAAAAATATAGAATCAAATGAATAATAATTGTAAAATTTTAAATATAAAAAAAAAATTTTTAATTAAGAAAGAAATGAAAAAAAAAACCCCTAAGTTCTTTGTATGAAAAAAAAAAACAAATTGGGACAAAATAAGAAGACAAAATTAATGTTTTATAAAATCATTTAATGAGACTCGACACAATTCGCAAATAAATAGAAATTTGTTTTTTAATTTTTTATTTTTCGAGGTAAATCAGTGGATGTAGGCGTGGCTGGCGTATGAGAGGGGAGCAACGATTTTTGTATGTGACAATGGTGCGCTGTAAGCGTAATGCGCAGCTGGTGCACTGTAAGCGATATGAGCAGGCGCAGCGGCAATTGCTGGAGCATGCGCGTATTGAGTATAGGCAACTGGAGCGGCAGCGGCAATAGCTGGAGCATGCGCATAGGCAACTGGAGCTGCGGCGGCGGCAACAACTGGAGCGGCAATAGCTGCTTTCACGGCAACTGCAGCTGGTTCTTTACGTACTACGGCGTTGAATCCATTCACTGAATCAGCGGTGTAATCGACAGTTCTTCTTGTTCCATCGGATTCAAGAAGTGAATAGCTACCTTGTACAAGATCACCGTCACGTGATTCGTGTTGTGATTTTGAATCACCAGTCAATGAATCTTGAACATCATAGGAATAACTGTACTGTGGATGAGGATCAAAATCAGCGTCAACAGTTTTTGCAATCACTGCCTTTGCAATTGGCGCTGCGTACGCTAATTGAGCGGGTGCTGCTGCATAGCCGGCAAGCGGTGCGCCAATAAATCCAGCTTGAGAAACGGCCACGAGGGCGGCGAGAACGACGAACTAAAATAAATCATTATTATTATTATTATTATTTATTTTACTATAATTGGTAAACAAAAAAAAAAATAAAATACCATAATTAGTATAATTTTTGAAAATTATTAATTATTTACAAAATTACAATAATTTTTAAAAAATAATTCTATAACAATTTTTTATAACAGTTAAAATCACTTTATTATTAACAAAAAATTATTGTAATATAATAAATTGTTACGCAACAAATTTTTATAGAAAATAATATTTAATATAATAATTAATCACATAAACACGCACGAAACTTGAAAAAATTGCACAATTTAGTAATAAAAAATAATTTATTCCTTATTTTTAAAAATAATTTTTTTTTTTAAATAAAATTTACACTTAAAAATGAAATTAAAAAATATTTGATATTTTTTTTTTTTTGAGGGGGGAAATATGAAAGAAACTGCACTTTTAGAAAAAAAAGAACTCTATCCACTTTGTGTAAGTGATGCACAAAATTTTTGTACACACCTTGAATGCCATTGTTGAGGTGATGCAGTTGAATCAGCTTGAGTTAGTGATGAGTATGGTTGATCAGGTCTCCCTTTATATACCACTGACCAATGCCCACCAACATCCCCCTCTCCACATTATAAAATCTGCACTTTCAAAGTTTGGGCACAGAAATATTGCTCTTGAACTTGTTAGACGGATGCATTCCCCACTCTTTGAAATTTTAAATACATATATATAACACTGAGCTTTCCATGAACAAAGTAATTCGATTAAAGATATATATTTTACCATCGAATGTTTTGGTAATTGTATTTGTGCAACAAGCAACTGTGATTTCGATTTAATTAAATTTTCTTGGTCACCTTCGAAGGGGGTGCAATAATCATTTATCTTGATTCTTGAAATTCTTCCAATAAGCTCATTTGTGAATTAAAAAAAGAAAGAAAAAATTTATATGAATTATATTTATATTATATTTATGAATTATGAATATTTATATGAATTATATTTATATGAAAATAATAATTAGAGGTTTAAATACACATATATATATAATTTTTAAAAAATTACAAAAAATCAAAATATCGTAAACAATTAATAAAATTAAACCCTAATAACACAAGATATCTTGGGATATATTGATAATATCCTGCAGATATCCTAGGGATCTCTTAAAGATATCCAAAAAATCTGCGGTTTGGATATCCTTTGGATATCTTCTGGATATCTCTATAGACTTTTATAAATGTCCTCCAGATATCCCATAGATATCGTCAGGATATCCCACACATATTTTCAGGATATTCTCAGGATATCTTCTGGATGTCAAGAAGATATTCTCAGGATACTGTTTTTAAAGTGATCCCTCACAGCACCAGATATCCTAGGATATTCCAAAAACATCCCTTTAAGGATATCCAAAGTAGCGGCGGTTAGGATATCCTAGGGATACCCCAGAGATATCCTAAGGATACTTTAAGGATATCCAAAGTAGCGGCGGTTAGGATATCCTAGGGATATCTAAGGATGTCCCTAGGACGTCCCAGGGATATCCTAATTATTTTCCCGGATATTATTAGGATATCCTGTGGATATCCTTAGAACGTCCCAAGGATATCTTCAGGACGTCCAATTACATCCAAAGGTAACAGCCCAGATTTGAAAGATGATTGACAATCACGGGAAACCTATTTGTATCAAAAAATCGCTATCTCAAATAGTCAAAATTTGAATCATAATGATATCCTAGGGAGATCTTAGCGATATTTTTAGAATATTTTAACGATATACCAAGTTTATCCCAAGAATATCCCCACGATATCACTAGGATATCCCTAGAATATCCTCAGGATATCCCCAGGATATCCTAAAAATATCCTACGTAACGGCGGTTTGGATGTTCTGAGGAAATCCTCAGGATATCCTATGGACGTTTTCAGGATATCCTTTTGTTGTGAGGGAAGATAATCGAATTCACATTCTAAAATGACAATTATTATTAAAAATGAAAAATTACATGATATTGAACATTTTAAAAATATATTAATAATAAACAATAAAATTCAATATCGTGCATTTATTTAAACCAAATAAAATATATTTTTGAGTTAAGTAAACGTATATTTATTTTTAATAAAATAATAAAAAGTATAAATTAAAAAAATTTTTTGAAGAATTTTAAAATATGATTTTGAAAAGAAAAATTAACTAGATGAAGGCAATAAACTGTAAAAAAAAAAAAAAAATTTCCACATTTACTTTCGAAAAATAAATTTTTATTTGATTTAAAAATGAAGCAATAAATACATGTATATAGATATACTATTTTTGTGAAATCAATTATTACAATCACTAATTAAAATAATTATCATATAAAACCAGTTTAAATGTATAGAAGTTTTTTTTAAAATAATTTTAATTAAATGAAGAAAATTGTTAAATTAAAAATTATTGTCAATTTTAAAATTTCTTCAATTTCTTCATTATGACTGAGAGGATGAATGTGGACCCTTTGTATTTATATATAAACGAAAGATTAAAAATCGCGTAAAGGGTTATAATATTATTTTGGTTTCTTTTTAGTTGAAAACGCGATGGGTTTTGTTACATCATCTAAGAGTATATATCGCATTATGAGATCACGAAAAAATAAGTGGAACACTTTCGTAAATTAGGTGGGTCTGTGAAGGTATATACACGCGGGATTCGATTCTTTCTCTACATTATAAATTATCCAATATATCAATATATATATATATATGTCGCGACAAGACTCGAAACGTCAATCACCTGCTTTTTGATCGACTTTCCATAATCTTAATTTATTCACATATATGATATTTTAAACGCACATGATATAAATTCTCTCGCTCCTATCAAGATTAAAGAAAACAAAGACTTGATTTTAAAAATTATTATTATCATTATTTCAATTTTGGCGAATAAAAAATGCATTAAATTATAATTTTATATTAATTATAAATTACAGTTATAATAATATTAATTATAAAATATTTTTTTAATATATATATATATATATATATATATATAGAAAAAAATAAATAATTTTTAAAAAATTTAATTATTAAAAATAATTAACGAATTTTTTGAACATTTTCTCGCAGCTCTTGTATATATATATATATATATATATATATATCCAGGTGTAATACATAATGATGGAGATAAAGAAATAAATTATACATATACGCATGTAATGAACAAAAAAAAGATTTCAAGTAAAATTTAAAAATTCTTAAGGAGATCGTTATTTTGTTAATTGGACTGTTTTTTTTCTTTTTTTTTGCATGAAGAAAGAATTAAAACAAAAAAAAAAATAACAAAGTCCCGAATTGTTTCATATGGAATTTAACTTTCGCCTTGATCAAACGAAAGCAGTCACGGCTGTTTGGTAGCGGAGTAGTGTTACGAACTTTTTCATTGGGTGTGGATTCACCTTCAAAAACGACCCTGATCAATCCTCCGGTTCCGGATTCGAAAACATTGGACGCTGGCTATTTCAAAAACAAAAAAAAAAAAAAAATTTTTTTTTAATGTTTTTCACGAATGAACATCTGCGGGGCAAATATAACAAAATGTTTATTGCATATATATGAAGTCTCGCAAGACAGATTTTAATACGATTTTTTAAGACAATCTTTTTTTTCTTCTTATTTTCAATTTCAACGATTATTATTGCAATCCATCCTTTCCACTCTGGGGCATATATATATAAAGAGTCCTTGAAAAACGAGGATTTAACGAAGATCGAGTTTCTAACAGTCTCTTTCTTTTTCTTTCAGGAGCAATTTTTTTTTTTTACACCTACAAAAATGAAAGTTATTAAAAAAAGAAATCATTTTTATTTTCTTATCATATTAAAATTAATTTTATTACTTTTTATATACTATACAAATTAAATTTTTTTTAGGTTTTTTGAAAAAATTTTCGATTAGAAAAAATTTATTTAATTTATTTATTAAAATATTTATTATTTTTTTGTTTTAAAGAAAAAAAATTTTTTTTCGTTTAATATAATACTGTTGACAAATTATTTAATTGACTGTCAATTACCAACTATAGTTTTATAGCAATAAAATTATATTTCATTACAATTAGTAAAATGTCAAGCGACCGTGAACTTTTTAAGACACATCGCTCAGAAAAGAGAATTTACCACCTAACGAAAAATTATTAAACTCGCGAAGGACAAATTCCATTGCTTCGATTAACGAAAATGAAAGGATTTAAAAAAAAAAAAAAAAAATTATTTCACACGGAAAAACACTTGTGTTTAACTCAGAGATAAGTGCATTTTTCAATTACACCTCGAATTTATTTTGATTTTATTTCTTTTACACCTGAGAATGTTAAAATATTCATATAATTTATTTTTACTTTTTTCATATTTTATATTATTATTATTATTATTACTATTATTATTTATTCCATGTACATCTTTTAGTAAACCTTTACAATGATTTTCAAACCCTTACATATTTTATATATCTATTTATCTCTTAAAAGTATTATTTTTAAATATATTTCTTTTTTGTGTGAATTTTTTTTTTTTTTTTTTTTTTTTTTTTTTCTTAAAAACATTTCTTAAACAAAAAAATAATTGAATAATTTATATTTCTATGGGGTTAAAAAAAGAGGGAAGTGATTAAATATGAAATTTACGATACAAAGAAGATTGAAAAAAAAAAATATGAATAGAATATAGTTAAATATTTTTAGAGGCGTGTTTATATTATTCGGAATATTTAAAATGATTATTCTAGTCACGCTGTCGTTCAGTAGTAAGAGTCGCATAAAATCAGACACGACTTGAAGAAGACAAGACGTGTGGGAATTTTTGCTTTTAACGTTAACATTTCTTGGTAATTGTCATCATCTCATCCCTTTAAGTGTAAATCGTATAATTTTTTTTTTTTCATGCATTTTCATTCAGGTTTTAAATTTCCATACACATAGCTTGTATATATATATATATAGCGGAAATATCATTTGGGTGGCTATCGTAACACATCCGATCTACTGTTGGATATCTGAATATTTATCAGGAGAAATGGTCACCTTGATTTCTAGCTTTTATGTCTCGCCCATATAACCACGAAGACATTTCACAAAATGGAGAATTATCATTAAATATAAAAAAGAGAAAAATGTTTTAAATATGTATAACATTTATTTTTAAATATCAATTTATTTTTGTTTTCAATTTGATTTCGTTATATTTTCATTTTGAAATTTATTGCAATTTATATAAAATCAATTGCACAATAAAATTCGTTTTTTATTATACAATATAATTGCTTTGTTGTATTGTATGTTAAAAAAAAAGAAAGAAGTTTCTGGTACAACAATTAATTGACCATTATCTGGTACAAGTAAACTTTTTGCTCCAAGAACCAATGTACGCTTTTTTCTGGTTTAAAATCTATTGGACCATTTTTCGGTACAAAAACTAATGGAACTAGTTTATGGTCCAAGAATTAATTAACCATTTTCTGGTACAAGATTTATTAAATAAATTTTTGGTCACAGAACAAATGGACCATTTTTTTGGTACAAAAACTAGAAGATCAGTTTTTGGTCCAAGAATTAATTGACCATTATCTGGTACAAGAGCGATTATATAATTTTTTGGTCTCAGAACCAAAGTATATATTTTACTGGTCCAAGGACCATTTTTCGGTAAAAAAAAAATTAAGGGACCATTTTTTGGTACGAGAATTAATGAACCATTTTTTAGTAAATAAAATAATAGACCATTTTTTGATGCTGCAATTAATGGTTCATCATCTTGTTCAAAAATTTATTGGACCATTGTTTTGTCCCGAAACTAAAGGATCTTTTTCTGGTATAATATATATATTGGACCAGTTTTTAGTCCCGTAAACCAATGTACCTTTTTCTTGTCCAAGACCTATTGGATTATTTTTCAGTAAAAAAAAAAAACTAATGAACCAATTTTTGATCCAAGAATTAATTGACCATTATCTGGTACAAGATTTGTTGGATAACTTTTTGGTCCCAGAGCAAATGGACCATTTTCTGGTCCAGAATCTATTGGATCATTTTTTAGTAAAAAATAAATTAATGGACCATTATTTAGCATTATATCTGTTGTACTATTTATTGGTCCCAGAGAAAATGGACCATTTTCTGGTCCAGAATCTATTGGACCATTTTTTAGTAAAAAATAAATTAATGGACCATTATTTAGCATTATATCTATTGTACTATTTATTGGTCCCAGAGAAAATGGACCATTTTCTGTTCCAGAATCTATTGGACCATTTTTTAGTAAAAAATAAATTAATGGACAATTATTTAGCATTATAATTATATAATAATAATAATAATAATAATAATAATAATAATACCAATTTCTGGTCCAGAATCTATTGGACCATTTTTTAGTAAAAAATAAATTAATGGACCATTATTTATAGCATTATATCTATATTGTACTATTTATTGGTTCCAGAGAAAATGGACCATTTTCTGGTACAGAATCTATTGGACCATTTTTTAGTAAAAAATAAATTAATGGACAATTATTTAGCATTATAATTATATTATAATAATAATAATAATACCAATTTCTGGTCCAGAATCTATTGGACCATTTTTTAGTAAAAAATAAATTAATGGACCATTATTTAGCATTATATCAATATTGTACTATTTATTGGTCCCAACCATAATGGACCAATTTCTGGTCTTGAATCTATTGTACCAGTTTTTGTTCCAGAATTTATTGAACCATTTTCTGGTCCCATAACTAATGAACAATGATTTGGTCTAAGATCTCTTGAACCATTTTCTGGTTCCAGAACTAATGGACCATTTTTTGTGATCCATAATCTATTGGACCACATTTTGATATCTTGGTTCAAGATCGATTTAACCATTTATTTCTTAATTTACTTATATTCAAATAAACTTATGCATTTGAATTTTATGATTAATGATCTTTATGATATTGTCAGTTTACTGAAATTTTATTTTAGTACCTCATATATATTTTTTTTTTCAAAACTTTATTTTAAGGGATGCTTTGAGAACTGTGTTGTTTATTATGGTTCTTAAATGCAATAGGTGTTTGCTATGTTACTTGAATGCCATAAAGAAGTAACTGAGCTCTTGACGTCGACCAGTAAACCTGACTCAATGTTAATAACAGAGAACTCGTAGGCGTATTTCTTAGTTCACGCGATATTTGAACAGAAAAAAAAAATGTTTTTTATTACAAAATCTTCTTCCTTGCAAAATTTACACTCTGAATGAAGATCGACTTTTGTAAAATTTTACAAAACTTTATTCTCACATATTTCTTTCATTTTCTTACAAAGTTTTTTTTTTTTTTTTATTTGAGAATATATTTTTAATTTCTATAATAAATTAAAATTTACTATGATAAAGAGAAAGATAGATATATAATGAAAAAAAAAAAAAATGAGGCGGAGACAAAAATTGATATCTGTCCCAAATATCGATAAAATACTTTTATATATGTGTGTGATCCAGTTTCTTGCCTAATTTCTCACCTTGCGGAGAGAATCGGTCCCCCCGCAACTGGTCTTAGTATGCTTACATCACACACGCAATATAGTCTCTGCTCGAGACCTATAAAAGCCGAAAATTTCGCAGTGAACGACATCATTTGCAAGCAGCAACTGTAACTCTCAACATTACAATGGCATTCAAGGTACTATTAAAGAAGTAAAACGTGTTAAAAATAAAAATTGTGCTATTTTAACAAGTGTTTAAAGAAAATAAGTGTCGCAAGTGAAATTAGTAATTCAATTTTCCTCTCGTCAATTAGAAAACAGAAATTTTCTTTATTGAACAATTATAATAATAGTAGAATTTTTTTTTAATTGGAATTGATATTTATTTTTTTAAATTGTAAATTTAATTATAAATTTTTTCTACTACTACTATTTTCTGATTTATTATTTACTGATTAGTAAAATAATTTACATATTTGATAATTACTTATATTGAAAGGAAGAAAATAATAAATAAATAATTTTTTTTTTAGTTCGTCGTCCTCGCCGCCCTTGTGGCCGCCGCTCAAGCTGGAATTATTGCCGCGCCTCTTGGCTACGCTGCTGCCCCCGTTGCAAAATTGGCTGTAGCGCCAGCTGTGGCTGTAAAAACAGTTGACGCTGATTACGATCCCAATCCTCAATACAGTTACGCTTATGATGTACAGGATGCATTAACCGGTGATTCAAAAAGCCAACACGAAACCCGTAACGGAGACATTGTACAAGGTAGCTACTCTCTTCTTGAATCCGATGGAACAAGAAGAACCGTCGACTACACCGCTGATTCAGTTAATGGATTCAACGCTGTTGTTCACAAAGAACCCGCTGAAATTGCCGTTAAAACCGCTGTCGCCGCTCCATTGGTGAAAACTGTTGCTCCAGTTGTTAAAACTGTAGCTCCCGCCTACACTGCCGCATACGCCACCGCTCCAGTTGCTCAATACGCTGCCGCACCAGTTGCCCACTATGCTGCCGCTCCAGTTGCTCAATACGCTGCTGCCCCAGCAGTTGCTCACTACGCTGCCGCTCCAGTTGCTCAATACGCCGCTGCCCCAGCAGTTGCCCACTATGCCGCCGCTCCAGTTGCCCAATACGCCGCTGCCCCAGTTGCTCACTACGCCGCCGCTCCAGTTGCCCAATACGCCGCTGCTCCAGTTGCTCACTACGCCAAAGTTGCCAGCTACGCAGCTCCCGCCTACTATCACTAGATCATTTATTTTGTAATATATAAATAAATTCTCCTAATAATATACAATCCATTGTTTTTATTACACACTAGCAAAATTAAACGCGCGCAAGCGCGCTAAATTGAGTATTTAATTGTTTGTTATAAAAAAATTAAAAATTAATATTATCAATAATAATTTAATTTATTAGAATATTATTACATATTAAATGATAATAATGAAAATTATATGTTTACAAGCCTCGGATTATACGACTTTTTTCAAAAATACGACTTTTATCGACTTATTTTAATAAAATGCGACATTTTTTTTACATTTGAAAGAAAATGTAAATAAAATACCTTTTTTTAAGTATAAAATTTAGATCTTCTTCAGATCTTCTTCAATTCAATTATTTAATAAATTTTCAACTAAAATGATTCTTCACTAAATTAATTAATTTTAATTAATTTTAATGTAATACATCACAAATTCAATTATATCAATATTATTTTTCAATTAAAATTTTTATGAAATTTAACAATTGTTTATAATTAAAAAAAAAAAAAATATCACAATGAAATTGAATTATTTTTTAAAAATTTCAATTCAAAATAAACATTATTACCCGAAATTTTAATTCAAAATCAATTAAAAATCCAATAATTATCCAAAATTTTCAATTTAAAATGAAATACAATTCAATTATTTTCTAAAATTTTTATTCAAAATTAATTATCCAAAATTTCAATTAAAATTCAATTCTTTTCAAAGTTTTCAATTCAAAATCTTTTAAAAATCGATTATTTTCCAAATTTTGCAATTTAAAATCAAAGAAATTTTTTTTCTAATTTTCAATTCAAAATCATCTAAAATTCAATAATTCTTAAAAATTTCAATTAAAAATTAATTATTATAAAAATTTTAAATCAAAAATCAACAAAAATTTAATTATTATTCAAAATTTGAATTAAAATTCAATTTCTTTCAAAAATTTGAATTCAAAATCAACTAAAATTCAATTATTTTCAATATTTTCAATTCACAATAAACTACAATTCAATTACTTTTAAATTTTTCAATCCAAAATTAACAAAAATTTATTTATTTTCCAAAATTTCAATTGAAATTCAATTATTTTCAAAATTTTCAATTCAAAATCTTTTAAATTTCAATTATTTACCAAATTTTCAATTCAAAATCAAATAAAATACAATTATTACCCAAAATTTTAATCCAAAATCAATTAAAATTCAATAATTATCCAAAATTTAAATTAAAAATTAATTATTATCAAAATTTTGAATCAACTAAAAAGTAAATTATTGTCCAAAATTGACATTAAAATTTAATTATTTCCTAAAATTTCAATTCAAAATCAAATAAAATTTAATTATTTTCAAATTTTGCAATTCAAAATCTTTTAAAATTCAATTATTTTCCAAATTTTGCAATTTAAAATCAAAGAAATTTTTTTTTCTAATTTTCAAATCAAAATCAACTAAAATTCAATTATTCATAAAAATTTAAATTAAAAATTAATTATTATAAAAATTTTCAATCAAAAATCAACTAAAATTCAATTATTTTCCAAAATTTTAATTGAAATTCAATTATTTTCAAAATTTTCAATCCAAAATCAACCAAAAATCAATTATTTTCGAAATGTAAATTAAAATTCAATTCCTTTAATAATTTTCAATCCAAAATTGACAAAAATTCAATTATTTTCCAAAATGTCAATTGAAATTCAATTATTTTCTAAATGTAAATTAAAATTCAATTATTTTACAAATTTTCAATCCAAAATTGACAAAAATTCAATTATTTTCCAAAATTTCAATTAAAATTCAATTATTTCCCAAAAATTTTCAATTTAAAATCCAATAAAATTTCATTATTCTCAAAAATTTGAATTCAAAATTAATTGAATTTTCAATAATTTAAATTTAAAAGCATCTAAAATTTAATTATTTCTAAAATTTTCCATCGAAAAATTTTTTTTTTGAAATTTAATAATTTCAATTATAACTCTGAGGAAATTCAATTATTTTTAACTATTTTAATAATATTCTTTGAAATTTCAACTATCTGAAACCATTTTTTCAATTAAAAATGTTTTTCAAATTATTGTATTTTGTAAAATTTTATTATACAAAGTAAAATTGTTTATATCATTTTATTTTGTTTAGGTATATTATTTTACTCTTTTTTCAATTCTTAGAATAATTGGCTCAGTAGTTAAAAGCAAAAAATCCGTCGTTAATTCTATATCCTCTATTTTTGAGATTTTATCCTTTTTCACAATATATTTTCGAAGAATAGTCGCAGTAAACAATTTCAAAGACATCATGGCATATGTACGTCCTGAAAAGAAAGAATTTTTTTTTTACCAACAAATATATTAGTTTAAAATTAATATTCTAAGTCACACTGAAAAAAGGGTTTGGTATTAATAACCAAATGTTTGGTTGTTATTTAAGCAACAAAAATTTTTTTTTATTGAATCAACAAAATTTTTGTTGTCCCAATCAAACTTTAGTTAGGACAACAAAAATAATTTTTTTCTCTAATTTTGGTTGCGTGAAACAAATTTTGATTGAGACAATTAAAATTTTGTTAATTCAACAAAAAAATTTTGGTTGCCAACCAAACGTTTGGTTGTCAATACCAAACTCGTTTTTCAGTGCAAGTATAGAAAATCCAACATATTTTTAATTAATTTTTAATTGATAAGAATATTAATTAATTAATAATAATAAATAAATTTTAATTAATACCTATACAATCTCTAATTCCAAAACTAAAAGGAATAAATGAACACGGATGTCTTTTTTTCACTTCTTCAGGTAGAAATCTATCTGGATCAAATTTGAATGGATCGTGCCAAATTTTTTCATCGCGATGAAGATTAAAAATTGAAACAATCATACCACAATCTTTTGGTATTGTGTAGCCATCTGAAATTATTAAAATTAAATTAATATTATTCAAAAATTGGAAAATTATTTTAATTAATAAATAATTAATTATAATTACTACTTAATTATTATTTTTTTGGAATATATGAAATTTTTCATTAAAAAAAAAAAATTGTATATTTACCTAATGTAAAGTTTTCTAATGCCTTTCGTGATATGATTACTGCAACAGGGAAAAGTCTCATTGTTTCTTTAATTACTCTTTCTAAATATTCTAATCGTTTTAAATCGTCATAATTTATTGGATCAATTTCTGGATCATTAGTGCCGTAAATATTAAAAAGCTCCTCATAAACTTTATCCTGAAGTAATTAATAATTATAATAATCAAATAATTTTGTAAAAAAATATTATATACAATTATATTATTTAATTTTAATATAATTTATTAATTTTTTTTTTTCAATAAAAAAACGGAAAATACAATTCGTACCTGAACAATGGGATGAGATGCCAACATGAGTAAAATAAAATTTAATGTACGAGAGGTTGTATCATGACCCTATAAAAAATTATTAGAATCTAATTTTTAAAATTTCTATTTTCTTTATGTTGGAAATATAAAGAATAATTATATATATAATCACCGCAATAATAATTGTGTCCATTTGCTCCCGAATATCCTTATCAGTGAATTTATTTTCACTATTTAACAATTTTAACATTAAATTCAAAAAATTTGTCTTCTCTTCAATATTCTCTAAAATTATCAATTTTTTAATTTTTCAAAGAATTTGTTTTTAAAAAAAAAATTTTATAAAAATATATTTACCTTTATTTTCAATTTTTAATTTTTGTCTTCTTTCTTTGATTACCTAAAATAAGTTATTTATATTTTTAAATTTACAGTCAAACCTGGATAAGCGTGAGACTTTCTCCTACAGAGGTTTTTCACTTATTCATATTTAAATGTATGGTTGAAAATAATAATAATATTTTTAAGTTTTAAAAAGCATAAAAAAATTGTTTTTTAAACAGTGTAGAATGAATTTTTTTCTCACATTATCTGTAAAATTGTGATTGTACTTGATATTGTCATAGAAATCTTTTGAAAGTCGTGTCAAGTTAAATAACACAGGCACACAAAAAAAAAAAAGTCAGGTCCCAAAAAGCACAACCCCATATTCCTATGTTTTTGGGGTCGCTGAAACCGAATATGACCATGAAAAATTTTTTTGCCGACCCATTTTCCCGCAACCACCCCCTTGCACCTACTCACGGGGGTTGGAGTTTCAAATTAAAAAAAAAGTCAAGTTCGGTGTCTAATCCTACGTTTTTTGGGGCGCTGAAACCGAAAAACGCCACCAAAAACAAATTCTTTACCCCCTTAACCCCCTACAACCCTCTGGGAGGGGGTTAAAATTTTAAATTTCACAAAAAGTCAAGTTCGGTGTCTAATCCTACGTTTCTTGGGGCGCTGAAATTAAAAAACACCACCAAAAACAAATTCTTTACCCCCTTAATCCGCTAGAACCCCTGGGAGGGGGTTGGAATTTCATTTTTCACGAAAAGTCGAGTACGGTGTCTAATCCTATGTTTTTTGGGTCGCTGAAACCGAAAAACATCACCAAAAATAAAGTTTTCTAGAAAGTTACCTATGATTACACAAATACGCACCTACAAAGTCTTAAGGAAATTTATTTTTCTACACTTAGCGCCGTGAAAAATGATATTCCAACCCCCTCCCAGGGGTTCTAGCGGATTAAGGGGGTAAAGAATTTGTTTTTGGTGGTGTTTTTTAATTTCAGCGCCCCAAGAAACGTAGGATTAGACACCGAACTTGACTTTTTGTGAAATTTAAAATTTTAACCCCCTCCCAGAGGGTTGTAGGGGGTTAAGGGGGTAAAGAATTTGTTTTTGGTGGCGTTTTTCGGTTTCAGCGCCCCAAAAAACGTAGGATTAGACACCGAACTTGACTTTTTTTTTAATTTGAAACTCCAACCCCCGTGAGTAGGTGCAAGGGGGTGATTGCGGGAAAATGGGTCGGCAAAAAAATTTTTCATGGTCATATTCGGTTTCAGCGACCCCAAAAACATAGGAATATGGGGTTGTGCTTTTTGGGACCTGACTTTTTTTTTTTTTGTGTGCCTGTGTAATATATCCGAATGTAACCACACACGATTAAGTCGTTCGAGAAATGATTTCAATATTCTGTAAATTATTAAGTTCATTAATTAATTGTAAACAAATAGTCAATTTTTAAAAAATTAATTTTTTGCACCTTCCATTTGTTTCTAAATATTTTAGAATTTCTTTTCTTTCCTTTTCTATAGACATTCCAATAGTATTTTCTGTTAAACAGAAAAAAATTATTAAATAATTTAGAAAATTATAAATTATTATATTATATTGAAATAATATATTTATATTAAATTACGCTACTTACCATAAATACTGACAAAAATTGTGAATGAAATGTAGGGTAATATTTCAAATTCCGGACCATCTATTCGATCTGACAGAGTTTGTGTTAATAAAAGTGAATGTTTTTGAAGAATTGACATAAAACTTCTCAGGATTTTACTATGGAATGTCGGTTGAATTGATTTTCGTCGATCGTGCCAAATTTGATCTTAATAAAAAAAAATCAATAACAAAATTTACATTAATTTTTAGGTACATAAATGAAAAGTTAATTTTAATTTGAAAATCATTTTCAACTCACGATCAACAGTCATTAATCCATTGCCTACCCAAGGTTTGGCAAATTTATAAATATCATCTTTTTGAAGTGTTTTCGAATTAATCAGAAGGGTCTTTAAAAAAATTTAATTTTTTTTTGAAATCCACAATGGTGGAAGTATTAAGTAATTTATTTATAATTTAATAAAAAAAATATTTTCCTTACTTTTATTTGTACCGGATCTTTGATCACAATCCAAACTCTAGAACCAAGAATAAAATGAAATGTCGAGGGAAATGAATCAATAAGTCTAGCCATTCGTTTCATAAAATCTAAAATCAAATAATTAATTAATTAACTTGAAAATATTTATCTTTAATTATAATAATAAATTTTTTTATTAAAATCTCACATTTCGAATCACCGAGAAAAAGATAAGCACATCCAATTAAAGGAAATGTTTTTGGTCCTGGAATGTGACTAGTTTTTCGGTAAAGTTCTCGATTTCCAAAAAAATGGTAAATAATAAATAATAGAAAACTTGATGTTAAAACTACTATTGTTAAAATATAAAATATTGTATACATATTTTCTTTATTGTTTTTTAAAAAAAATCACGAATTTAAGTTTTAAAAAATTAGAAAAATATAATGTAAAGCATAAAGACTGTAATGCGCCAATGATACAAAGTAATTAAGCTTTTATAAATAACCTAAGCAAAACAAGTTTTTATCTGTTATTAGAAAAAAATATTTAAATTTTATGGTCTTAAAAAATTATATAAGAAATTAACTTACATAAACAATGAATTCAATATAATGTTAACAAAAACTTGTTTTTTAATTAGAATTATCTTACTTTATACTATTACTTTGATATTTATATTGGCATTTTATGAACGAAAGACGTCAAATTAATTTAATCGAATTTTCCTTATACCTAGAAGTAAAGCAAGGACATGACCTTACGTATAACATATAAGCGCATAATAGTTTAGTAACATTGATCATATAAAATATAGCCTAAGGAAATGATCTAGTTTTCTTGCCCAATTTTCCATATTTCACCTTCTAAAATGATCGCATATCATTTTCCCACTTCTTTTATTATGCATATCTAATGATCAAACTGCTACCTATAAAAACCGAAATCAAAATTTTAAACAGCATCAATTGCATTCAGCAACTCTTCTAATCAATACCATGGCATTCAAGGTAAGAAATTAAAAAAAAAAATTTCTTTTACTTGATAAATAAATATACCTAAATTCGAAGAAAGTAAAAAAAAAAATTAGACCTGATAGTCTGAAAAAAAATTATTAAACATTCAAACGATTTATTATTATAAATTATATAGTCATTGTTTTCTAATAATAAAATTTAAAAATTACAGGTTATTGTTCTCGCCGCATTTGTGGCAACCGCAAATGCTGGATTAATTGGAGGATATTATTCTTCATTGGCTGCACCAGCACCATTGGCGTATGCGAGTGCTCCAGTTGCACAGGCAGCGGTGATCACCAAAACCGTGGACTCTGAATACGATCCTCATCCCGAGTACAGTTATTCCTATGATGTTCAAGACTCATTGACCGGTGACTCAAAATCGCAACACGAAACCCGCGACGGAGATGTTGTCAAGGGAAGTTACTCTCTCGTAGAGGCTGACGGAAGCAAAAGAACTGTCGACTATGTTGCTGACCCAATCAATGGATTCAATGCTGTTGTAAAGAAGGAACCAGCAACAGTTGCCGTCGTCGCTGCTCCAGTTGTCAAACAAGTTGTGCAACCAATTGTGCCAGCCGCTGTTGTCAAAACTGTTGTACCAGCTGAAACCACCATCTCAAAATACTCCACTGGATTCACCCATCACGCTCCAGTTGTTCACTCAGTTGCTCAACAAGTCGTGCAACCAGTTGTGCAAGCCGCTGTTGTCAAAACTGTTGTACCAGCTGAAACCACCATCTCACAGTACTCCACTGGTTTCACACACAATGCTCCCGTTGCTCATACAGTCGCTGCATACTCCGCACCTGCATACTCTTATGTTGCTGCACCAGTTGCTGCTTGGTGAAGAATTTAAAAAAATAATGTAACAAATTGATAATAAATAAATCATTTCACGAAAATTACCTTTTTGTGCTTCTTTCTATTTTTACCTAAAGTTCTAATGTTGCTAAAATAGATTGATATAGCTGTTATAATGATCTGTTGGAATATTGATTTATTTCAAACTCAATCTGGATAAACATTTTCTAGCTTATACTGAATCCAGATTGTTTAAGCTAGAATTTGCTAACTGATTCGCGGGAAATTGGTACGTAAACATAGTATCAAAATAGTCCGAAAATGATCCTTATTAGTTTGAAAGAAAAGACGTATTCGAGATCTTTTTGGAATTCAATCTATCCGTAAACAAACCTAATTTATAGTTTCATTCGAGTTGTTTCAAAATTTCAATCGCAGTGAGTCCGTAATAATTCAAAATAATAATCCAACAGCTGTATATATAAGTAAGAAAAATCTATTATTCATAATATTGGTTCTGACACCTACAGATTTCAAATTAAGATTTAAAAATCTAACTAAATCCAGATTGTTTCTGATTGTGGATTTTATACATCAAATCTTTGGAATAATTTTGAATTTCGATTTTCTGATTTAAAAATAAGTGACATACAAATTTTACGAATTCCGTATAGATTAAGATGACTAGATTAATTGCAGATTAATAATTAATTTTTTAAAATTTTAACCATCAACAATATAATCAACTATAAAAATAATAAATCATCAGTAATAATTATGAGTAGATAATTTTTTGAAAAATTAAAATATAAAAAATTACCAACATAGAAATCTACCTTACCGACTAATGGTAAAACAGTTTTTTTTGAAAAATGAAAATATAAAAATTACTGACACAGAAATCTACCTTGCCGACTGATGGTAAGGTAGATTTGTGCCAGTAATTTTTTATATTTTCATTTTTCAAAAAACTGTTCTACCATTAGTCGGTAAGGTAGATTTCTATGTCGGTAATTTTTATATCTTCATTTTTTAAAAACTGTTTTACTATCAGTCGGTAAAGTAGATTTCTATGTCGGTAATTTTTATATCTTCATTTTTAAAAACCTGTTTTGCCATCAGTCGGTAACGTAGATTTCTATGTCGGTAATTTTTTATATTTTCATTTTTCAAAAAACTGTTTTACCATCAGCCGGGAAGGTAGATTTCTGTGTCGGTAGGTTTTTATATCTTCATTAAAAAAAATTTATTATCAGTCGGTAAAGTAGATTTCTCTGTCAGTAATTTTTTATATTTTCATTTTTCAAAAAAATGTTTTACCATCAGTCGGTAAGGTAGATTTTTTATGTCGCTAATTTTTATATTTTCATTTTTCAAATATTTTTACCCTAATGTGAAATAACCCTAATGATCACATAGCGCTCGCAAGTGAAATTCGATTTTGCAAACGCGCATTACAAAAGAAAAATATTTATTTATTATAATATTGATACAATTATAAGAGAGTTTTTTTATTACTTGGTAAAAAACTGCTATTTTAAGGATTAAAACTTAATTTAATACAATGAAACCCACGTATATCGGACCAGCATAATTCGTATTCCCGCTTTCAACGGATTGTTTTTCTGATTACTTGATATCGGAATGGGATTAACTTTTTATTTTGTAATAAACAGCGATAAAGAGATAAATAAATAAATATTATACAAAACAGTATCATAAGATTTGATCATACATCAATTTCATTATTTATTAATCCTCCAAGTGGGATGGAAACTTTGTTATCTTTCCAAATGTTTCGGTAATTTATAAGTTATCTACATTTAAGGATATCAATTAAGGTATTCGATAACAAAAAATAATGAGTTCGATAAAAAATAATATTATTAATAGAACTTTAGGTAAAAACAAAAAGAAGCACAAAAAGGTAATTTTCGTGAAATGATTTATTTATTATCAATTTGTTACATTATTTTTTTAAATTCTTCACCAAGCAGCAACTGGTGCAGCAACATAAGAGTATGCAGGTGCGGAGTATGCAGCGACTGTATGAGCAACGGGAGCATTGTGTGTGAAACCAGTGGAGTACTGTGAGATGGTGGTTTCAGCTGGTACAACAGTTTTGACAACAGCGGCTTGCACAACTGGTTGCACGACTTGTTGAGCAACTGAGTGAACAACTGGAGCGTGATGGGTGAATCCAGTGGAGTATTTTGAGATGGTGGTTTCAGCTGGTACAACAGTTTTGACAACAGCGGCTGGCACAATTGGTTGCACAACTTGTTTGACAACTGGAGCAGCGACGACGGCAACTGTTGCTGGTTCCTTCTTTACAACAGCATTGAATCCATTGATTGGGTCAGCAACATAGTCGACAGTTCTTTTGCTTCCGTCAGCCTCTACGAGAGAGTAACTTCCCTTGACAACATCTCCGTCGCGGGTTTCGTGTTGCGATTTTGAGTCACCGGTCAATGAGTCTTGAACATCATAGGAATAACTGTACTCGGGATGAGGATCGTATTCAGAGTCCACGGTTTTGGTGATCACCGCTGCCTGTGCAACTGGAGCACTCTCATACGCCAATGGTACTGGTGCAGCCAATGAAGAATAATATCCTCCAATTAATCCAGCATTTGCGGTTGCCACAAATGCGGCGAGAACAATAAACTGTAATTTTAAATTTTATTATTAGAAAACAATGATAATAATTTATTGTCAATGAAATAAATTTTTTTCAGTATAGTAAATTAACAAATTAAAATTTTGTTAAAAACACTCTTTAGAAGACTTAAAATACCTTGAATGCCATGTTGATTAGTTCAATTGCTGATTGCTACTGATGTCGTTTAGAGATTGAGATTCTGCTTTTATAGGAGTGAAAATCTGTAAAAATTATGAAATTTTTTTTTACTGGAATGTTTGATATTGATCGATCAAATTTTAAAATATGTGAAATGAAGTAAGAAACTAGATCAAAATATTTAAAATAGAGATCAATATTATAATGAATTATTAGGGCATGCCTAACTTCTTACTTCCGATTATATAAGCCCTTATGAATTATTTAAAAATTATAATGTAATCATACTGTTTAAATATGAATAATTTTCTCTAAAGATTTATTTATCCATATAATGATATGGATTTTATAATTTATTTTTACAATTTTCATTCTTTAAATTTTTGAACTTTATAATTAAAGTAAAGAATCGATATAAATTCATCCTTGGAAAGATATTTATTTTAAAATCATATAATTTTTTTACTATTAAGTAAATAGTACTTTTTTCGATATTTTTGTGTTTGATGGTTGAAATCATTTTTAAATGTAGTGTTAATTTATATATATATTTATATACGATTTGAAATATAGAATAGAATAAATTATATCAATGTCATTTTATATGGCATGCATGTGAATAATAGTATCTAATGGATTACATGTCTAAAGTGATAGGTATAAAGAGTTTCACAAGAAACTTCTTTATGTTAATAGTCATATTTCTCAATTTTCTTCATCCTTCGGCTTTTATGAGAATGTTTAATTTTCAAAATAATTATTTGATTTGTTTTTTATTTGATTTTTCTCCCACCATTAAAAACTATTTCTTGGGCAGTATAAAAATCGAAACTTTAGCCATAGACAGCATCAATTGCTAGTTGCATTTGGACCAATCAACTCTAAAATGGCATTCAAAGTAAGTATTTATATATACTATTCAACATTTTGATTCCGTAAATATTCCGTTTTAATTTAATTTTCTTTGTACTCCATTATTTATTTTTTACCCTATTTTTTCTTCATCATCTGTTGACAAAAAAATGTTTTTAAAAATTTTGTGTTACTTTTTAGTTCATTGCTTTCGCTGCCTTCGTGGCTGTTGCTAATGCTGGAGTCATCCATGCACCAGTGCAAGCTGTACCAGTAGTGAAGACGCTTGTTTCTTCAGTTCCTGTGGCTCATTCTTCAACAACTTTGATCAGAAAGGATCACTCTGTACCAGCAATTCATACCGAAACTGTTGTACCTGTTGTTGAAGCTGCACCTGTACTAAAAACTATTGTCCACGCTGAACCAGTACTCAAGACTGTTGTTTCTTCAGCTCCAGTTGCTCACTCTTCAACAACTGTGATCAGAAAGGATCATTCAGTTCCAGCAATTCATACTGAAACTGTTGTACCTGTTGTGGAAGCTGCACCAGTACTCAAAACTATTGTCCACGCTGAACCTGTACTCAAGACTGTTGTTTCTTCAGCTCCAGTTGCTCACTCCTCAACAACAGTGATCAGAAAAGATCATTCAGTTCCAGCAATTCATACTTTGGTACCAGTTGTACAAGCTGCACCTGTACTTAAAACTGTTTACTCTCACGCTGTACCTGTATATTCTCATGTTGCCGCTCCAGTTGCCACAGCTTGGTAAATGCGATGAAAAATTAAATATAATGTAACAACTATTGTCTCAATAAATAATTGATTTCATTAATTATTATCTTTCATTTTTTTTACCCCTTTTTTGAAAATTATGATATATATATATATATCATCATTTGTCTATTTAATAAAAAATATGCTGATGATTTTTCAATTGGTAAATTATTATTTAAATAAAGCAGCTGAATATAATGATGATTTATGATTAATTTTACAAATTTTTAACTATGTTTTAATTTATGCTTTCATATACTGATTTTAAATTTATAGTAAGAAGGTATACAAATGTTATATACATAAAAGGATATCACACAATAAGTTAATTTAATCTTAAAATCTAATTAAATAAAAATAGAGAAAATACTTCTATTTTTTATATATTTAAATTTTGAAATTAATTTATGTATTAGACAGCGATCTATAATAATTAATTTCACATATATACATAGTTATGTAAATTTTAAAATATAAAAAAAACTTAAGTGTAATTTATTTGTCAGTCCATAAACTTCCAAACAATGTGAAATTAATTGATTTTATCTTTTAAATTCTCCTTTGCACCTCATTTCTCTCTATAAACAGTAAATTATTACCTTTTTTATGAAGGAAAGTAAAAGTTACGACTTACAATGATGTGTTTGTATTGCACAATATGACAAACATCTGACAAATTATTCAAATAAAATTCTTTTTTAAGTATATATATATAATATATTATTCAGAATTCAATTATAATAATATTTATAGTATCCACGACAAAAATTGAATATCCCCCATGAATAAAGGAAATGTTCTTTCTATATTTTTAATGAGAGATCAAAATTATGATGATCAAGATAATTCTGATTATCATAATGAGAATGCTGATTAAGATGATTAAAATTATTATGATGATCCCCAGATAGCATATAAGCTTACAGCAACCTTGCGGCAAGCTTGCCGCGCAATATTGCCAACCTTGCATGGCAAGTTTGCCGCAAGCTTCGAATGTCCCACCTAACCCAAGCTTGCATGGTAAGCTTGCCGAAAGATTCCAGTGTAAGGTTACTGCAAGATTGTACAGTAAGATTATAGCAAGATTGCTCGGATTAGTGATCTAGATTAGTGATCTAGTTTAGTGATCTACTTTAGTGATCTAGATTAGTGAAGTAGATTAGTGATCTAGATTAGTGATCTAGTTTAGTGATCTAGATTAATGATCTAGTTTAGTGATCTAGTTTAGTGATCTAGTTTAGTGATCTAGATTAGTGATCTAGTTTAGTGATCTAGATTAGTGATCTAGATTAGTGATCTAGTTTAGTGATCTAGTTTAGTGATCTAGATTAGTGATCTAGATTAGTGATCTAGATTAGTGATCTAGATTAGTGATCTAGTTTAGTGATCTAGTTTAGTGATCTAGATTAGTGATCTAGTTTAGTGATCTAGATTAGTGATCTAGATTAGTGATCTAGTTTAGTGATCTAGATTAGTGATCTAGTTTAGTGATCTAGATTAGTGATCTAGTTTAGTGATCTAGATTAATGATCTAGTTTAGTGATCTAGATTAGTGATCTAGATTAGTGATCTAGTTTAGTGATCTAGTTTAGTGATCTAGTTTAGTGATCTAGATTAGTGATCTAGTTTAGTGATCTAGTTTAGTGATCTAGTTTAGTGATCTAGATTAGTGATCTAGATTAGTGATCTAGTTTAGTGATCTAGTTTAGTGATCTAGATTAGTGATCTAGATTAGTGATCTAGTTTAGTGATCTAGTTTAGTGATCTAGATTAGTGATCTAGTTTAGTGATCTAGATTAGTGATCTAGTTTAGTGATCTTTAGTGATCTAGTTTAGTGATCTAGTTTAGTGATCTAGTTTAGTGATCTAGATTAGTGATCTAGTTTAGTGATCTAGTTTAGTGATCTAGTTTTGTGATCTAGTTTAGTGATCTAGTTTAGTGATCTAGTTTAGTGATCTAGTTTAGTGATCTAGATTAGTGATCTAGTTTAGTGATCTAGATTAGTGATCTAGTTTAGTGATCTTTAGTGATCTAGTTTAGTGATCTAGTTTAGTGATCTAGTTTAGTGATCTAGATTAGTGATCTAGTTTAGTGATCTAGTTTAGTGATCTAGTTTTGTGATCTAGATTAGTGATCTAGTTTAGTGATCTAGTTTAGTGATCTAGTTTAGTGATCTAGATTAGTGATCTAGTTTAGTGATCTAGTTTAGTGATCTAGATTAGTGATCTAGTTTAGTGATCTAGTTTAGTGATCTAGATTAGTGATCTAGATTAGTGATCTAGTTTAGTGATCTAGATTAGTGATCTAGTTTAGTGATCTAGTTTAGTGATCTAGATTAGTGATCTAGATTAGTGATCTAGTTTAGTGATCTAGATTAGTGATCTAGATTAGTGATCTAGTTTAGTGATCTAGTTTAGTGATCTAGTTTAGTGATCTAGTTTAGTGATCTAGATTAGTGATCTAGTTTAGTGATCTAGTTTAGTGATCTAGTTTAGTGATCTAGATTAGTGATCTAGATTAGTGATCTAGTTTAGTGATCTAGTTTAGTGATCTAGATTAGTGATCTAGTTTAGTAATCTAGTTTAGTGATCTAGTTTAGTGATCTAGATTAGTGATCTAGTTTAGTGATCTAGATTAGTGATCTAGATTAGTGATCTAGATTAGTGATCTAGTTTAGTGATCTAGATTAGTGATCTAGTTTAGTGATCTAGATTAGTGATCTAGATTAGTGATCTAGTTTAGTGATCTAGATTAGTGATCTAGTTTAGTGATCTAGATTAGTGATCTAGTTTAGTGATCTAGTTTAGTGATCTAGATTAGTGATCTAGATTAGTGATCTAGTTTAGTGATCTAGTTTAGTGAACTAGATTAGTGATCTAGATTAGTGATCTAGTTTAGTGATCTAGATTAATGATCTAGTTTAGTGATCTAGTTTAGTGATCTAGTTTAGTGATCTAGATTAGAGATCTAGTTTAGTGATCTAGATTAGTGATCTAGTTTAGTGATCTAGATTAGTGATCTAGTTTAGTGATCTAGATTAGTGATCTAGATTAGTGATCTAGTTTAGTGATCTAGTTTAGTGATCTAGATTAGTGATCTAGTTTAGTGATCTAGTTTAGTGATCTAGATTAGTGATCTAGATTAGTGATCTAGTTTAGTGATCTAGTTTAGTGATCTAGATTAGTGATCTAGATTAGTGATCTAGTTTAGTGATCTAGTTTAGTGATCTAGTTTAGTGATCTAGTTTAGTGATCTAGTTTAATGATCTAGTTTAATGATCTAGTTTAGTGATCTAGTTTAGTGATCTAGATTAGTGATCTAGTTTAGTGATCTAGTTTAGTAATCTAGTTTAGTGATCTAGTTTAGTGATCTAGATTAGTGATCTAGATTAGTGATCTAGATTAGTGATCTAGATTAGTGATCTAGATTAGTGATCTAGATTAGTGATCTAGTTTAGTGATCTAGATTAGTGATCTAGTTTAGTGATCTAGATTAGTGATCTAGATTAGTGATCTAGTTTAGTGATCTAGATTAGTGATCTAGTTTAGTGATCTAGATTAGTGATCTAGTTTAGTGATCTAGTTTAGTGATCTAGATTAGTGATCTAGATTAGTGATCTAGTTTAGTGATCTAGTTTAGTGATCTAGATTAGTGATCTAGTTTAGTGATCTAGTTTAGTGATCTAGATTAGTGATCTAGATTAGTGATCTAGATTAGTGATCTAGTTTAGTGATCTAGTTTAGTGATCTAGATTAGTGATCTAGATTAGTGATCTAGTTTAGTGATCTAGTTTAGTGATCTAGTTTAGTGATCTAGTTTAGTGATCTAGTTTAGTGATCTAGTTTAATGATCTAGTTTAATGATCTAGTTTAGTGATCTAGTTTAGTGATCTAGATTAGTGATCTAGTTTAGTGATCTAGTTTAGTGAACTAGATTAGTGATCTAGATTAGTGATCTAGTTTAGTGATCTAGATTAATGATCTAGTTTAGTGATCTAGTTTAGTGATCTAGTTTAGTGATCTAGTTTAGTGATCTAGTTTAGTGATCTAGTTTAGTGATCTAGTTTAGTGATCTAGTTTAGTGATCTAGATTAGTGATCTAGTTTAGTGATCTAGATTAGTGATCTAGTTTAGTGATCTTTAGTGATCTAGTTTAGTGATCTAGTTTAGTGATCTAGTTTAGTGATCTAGATTAGTGATCTAGTTTAGTGATCTAGTTTAGTGATCTAGTTTTGTGATCTAGATTAGTGATCTAGTTTAGTGATCTAGTTTAGTGATCTAGTTTAGTGATCTAGATTAGTGATCTAGTTTAGTGATCTAGTTTAGTGATCTAGATTAGTGATCTAGTTTAGTGATCTAGTTTAGTGATCTAGATTAGTGATCTAGATTAGTGATCTAGTTTAGTGATCTAGATTAGTGATCTAGTTTAGTGATCTAGTTTAGTGATCTAGATTAGTGATCTAGATTAGTGATCTAGTTTAGTGATCTAGATTAGTGATCTAGATTAGTGATCTAGTTTAGTGATCTAGTTTAGTGATCTAGTTTAGTGATCTAGTTTAGTGATCTAGATTAGTGATCTAGTTTAGTGATCTAGTTTAGTGATCTAGTTTAGTGATCTAGATTAGTGATCTAGATTAGTGATCTAGTTTAGTGATCTAGTTTAGTGATCTAGATTAGTGATCTAGTTTAGTAATCTAGTTTAGTGATCTAGTTTAGTGATCTAGATTAGTGATCTAGTTTAGTGATCTAGATTAGTGATCTAGATTAGTGATCTAGATTAGTGATCTAGTTTAGTGATCTAGATTAGTGATCTAGTTTAGTGATCTAGATTAGTGATCTAGATTAGTGATCTAGTTTAGTGATCTAGATTAGTGATCTAGTTTAGTGATCTAGATTAGTGATCTAGTTTAGTGATCTAGTTTAGTGATCTAGATTAGTGATCTAGATTAGTGATCTAGTTTAGTGATCTAGTTTAGTGAACTAGATTAGTGATCTAGATTAGTGATCTAGTTTAGTGATCTAGATTAATGATCTAGTTTAGTGATCTAGTTTAGTGAT